GACATAGGGGTAAAATGCAGTTTTTAACTGGATTTACAAAGTAAAAATTGGTTATTGATTTGGGGATGTACAGCGGGCGGGCAGCTGCCAAACAGTGTCCGTTCATTTACATATAAACGCTTTGAAGAATTTTTTTCAAATATAGATATGTTGTTTCCTGTGACTAAATGAAGGTCAAGTTCAATTTTCATGATTTTAGCTTTTCTCGTTGTTCAGTTATAGCCCTTTCCCAAGAATTCAATTTTTGATGAATTAATCCATTTCTGTACAAAAGGAAATAACTCATTGTTTAAAAGATTTTTAAAAGACATTGTATTAATGATAAATGACATTTTGGATTTTTTTTCTTTTGTTTGGTAAATTGTTTGAAGAATTTTGTGGTAGGTTTGTTTGTTATCTTTATAAACTAATTTTCTGAATGATATATATATATATTTTTTTTTTATGAAGTGAACACCTTTAATTAGAAAATAATCTATTTTTAATATAGGATATTTCATTACATTTAAAGTTGTTGACATTGATCATAGATAAGTTGCAGATCTGTATTAGTTTGTGACAAATAAAAGAAAAAATATTTGGAAATATTAATTATATTTGAATATAATTTGAAAATAGATATACATCATATTTAATTTTAGAGAACTATTAATCATATCTAATGTTAGAGTACTATTTAAAACCATATTTCTGTTCAAAGGGAAATAACTCAAATTTCTTTATAACTATTTTTTTTTAAGTCATGTGTGAAGGTAGATGTCACAGTTGTTATGTGGTATTTTATTTTTGTTGTGTGTGTTAATGTTTAATTTTTACATGATCCTGTTTGGGGATCAGATTTGCAAATATCATTTTCATCATTATTAATTAGATAATAATCTATTTTAGATATTCATTCACAATCCAAATTCAGAGCTGTTTTAAGCTTAAATGTTGTGTCCATACTTGCTCAACTGTTCAGGGTTTGACCTCTGCAGGAAAATCTGGTTTGCTGTCACTCGACAGCCTCTTGTTTGGGTTATATCTCTGAAACTAACTTATTTAGAGCAAATCTGACAGGGTTAAAATATTCATCAGGTTAAGATTTATCTGCCTTTGAAATATTCAGACAAATCAGACAACCCGTTGTTGGATTGCTGCCCCTGAATTGGTAATTTTAAGGAAATTTTGCAGTTTTTGGTTATTATCTTGAATATTATTATAGAAAGGGAAACACTTTAAACAGCAATAATGTTCAGCAAGGTAAGATCTACTAATAAGTCAACATGACCAAAATTGTCAATTGAACCTTAAGGAGTTATTGCCCTTTATAGTCATTTTTAACAAGTTTTCGTAAATTTTTGTAATCTTTTACAAAAATCTTCTCCTGAAAGGACTGAGACAAATTTACCCTAACTTGGCCACAATCATCATTAGGGTATCTAGTTTAAGAAATGTGTCCTATGACCCTGCCTGCCAATCAACATGGCTAAAAATAGAACATAGGGGTAAAATGCAGTTTTTGGCTTATATCTCTTAAACTAAAGCATTTAGAGCAAATCTGACAATGGGTTAAAATGTTTATCAGGTTAAGATTTATCTGCACTAAAATTTTCTGACAAATCAGACAACCTGTTGTTGGGTTGCTGTCCCTGAATTGGTAATTTTCAGGAAATTTTGCAGTTTTTAACCGGATTTTTGTGTCAAAAATGTCGGTTATTGATTTGGGGATGTACGGCGGGCGGTCGGTCGGTCGGTCGGCCGTGCATTTACTCATGAACCATTCAACCAAACCTTTTAAAATTTTAATATGTTGTTACTGACAACAAAATGGAGGTCAAGTTTAATAATGACGATTTTGACTTTTACCGTTCAGGAGTTACGGTTCTTGAAAGTTTAAAAAATGTCGTGTCTGTGCATTTACTCATGAACCGTTCAACCAAACCTTTTTAAATTTTAATATGTTGTTACTGACAACAAAATGGAGGTCAAGTTCAATAATGACGATTTTGACTTTTACCGTTCAGGAGTTACGGTTCTTGAAAGTTTAAAAAATGTCGTGTCCGTGCATTTACTCATGAACTGTTCAACCAAACCTTTTTAAATTTTAATATGTTGTTACTGACAACAAAATGGAGGTCAAGTTTAATAATGACGATTTTGACTTTTACTGTTCAGGAGTTACGGTTCTTGAAAGTTTAAAAAATGTCGTGTCCGTGCATTTACTCATGAACCGTTCAACCAAACCTTTTTAAATTTTAATATGTTGTAACTGACAACAAAATGGAGGTCAAGTTCAATAATGACGATTTTGACTTTTACCGTTCAGGAGTAACTGTTCTTGAAAGTTTAAAAAATGTCGTGTCCGTGCATTTACTCATGAACTGTTCAACCAAACCTTTTTAAATTTTAATATGTTGTTACTGACAACAAAATGGAGGTCAAGTTTGATATTGATGATCATAAATTTTACCTATTAGGAGTTTTGGTCCTTGTGATATTGATTAATGCCAGAACACAAATAAATGTTAAAGAATCCGGTTTACTGTCATTTTGACAGCTCTTGTTGGTTATTATCTTGAATATTATTATAGATAGAGATAAACTGTAAACAGCAATTATGTTCAGCAAAGTAAGATCTACAAATAAGTCAAACATGACCAAAATTGTCAATTGACCCCTCAAGGAGTTATTGCCCTTTAAAGTCAATATTTAACAATTTTTCGTAGTTTTTGTAATCTTTTACAAAAATCTTCCTCTCTGAAACTACTGAGACAAATTTAACCAAACTTGGCCACAATCCTCATTAGGGTACCTATTTTTTTTAAAAGTGTCCGATGACCCTGCCTGCCAACCAACATGGCCGACATGGCTAAAAATAGAACATATGGGTAAAATGCAGTTTTTGGCTTATATCTCTGAAACTAAAGCAAAAGTATAATGGTTGCATTATTTCATGCATCGATTGTAAACAAAAATATCAGGTGAGAGACACAGGCTCCTTGGAGCCTCTAGTTACCGATCTCAACAATATACTTAATGGCGGCTATTGAAATTGGTAGCAGCTGTGGTCAATTGAAAGATCATGAAACCATTCTATTGTTTCCAAAACTTTTATCAATAGTCATATTACCTAAATATTAATATCATCACAATTTAGCTGACTTTAAAAAGTTTTGTACAGCTGGGCCAAGCAAAGGGCATAGTAAAGAACAGCTGGGCAAAGCAAAGGGCATAGTAAAGTACAGCTGGGCCAAGCAAAGGGCATAGTAAAGTACAGCTGGGCCAAGCAAAAGGCATAGTTAAGTACAGCTGGGCCAAGCAAAGGGCATATTTAAGTACAGCTGGGCCAGCCACTCTTGTTGATGAACTTCAAACATCACCTTTCAGTATTTACACCATAACAAACAACTAAGAAAGAATGTCATCATTTCTTAAAGTAATACCAATCTAGAATTCAATTAGGCTAGATTGATTGACTGATTGTTGTTAACTGCATAATGTATATAATGTCCAAAATACATAATTTATATAATGTCCTACATACATAATGTATATATAATGTCCAAAATACATAATGTATATATAATGTCCAAAATACATAATGTATATATAATGTCCAAACTACATAATGTATATAATGTATATAATGTCCAAACTACATAATGTATATATAATGTCCAAACTACATAATGTATATATAATGTCCAAACTACATAATGTATATATAATGTCCAAAATACATAATGTATATATATAATGTCCAAACTACATAATGTATATATAATGTCCAAACTACATAATGTATATAATGTCCAATATACATAATGTATATAATGTCCAAAATATGTAATGTATATATAATGTCCAAACTACATAATGTATATAATGTCCAAACTATGTAATGTATATTATGTCCAAAATACATAATGTATATAATGTCCAAAATACATAATGTATATATAATGTCCAAAATACATAATGTATATTATGTCCAAAATACATAATGTATATAATGTCCAAACTATGTAATGTATATATAATGTCCAAAATACATAATGTATATATAATGTCCAAAATACATAATGTATATATAATGTCCAAAATACATAATGTATATATAATGTCCAAAATACATAATGTATATATAATGTCCAAAATACATAATGTATATAATGTCCAAAATATGTAATGTATATAATGTCCAATGGCATATTTAAGATAGGGAAAAATTTTACATAAATTCAACAGATAGGTTTTACCTTGGGTTGTCAGATGACAAATGGAAATTTAGACTTGGGATTGACAGAGTAGAAAGTTTGCATTGCAACAGGCCACATAATTAGACAGACCACTCAAAAAATTGTATTCTTCAATATGTAGAGAATATGGCAATCTGCATGCTTACATGAGGCATCCAATTTATTGTCCCTATTCTAACCGGGTCTTGTTCTATATTCTGAACAGTGAGGAAGCACCCCTCTTTTAAGCATTAGTTTTATTGTCTTATGGATGAAGTCTAATTGCCATATTTCATACCCCTATCAACCCAGGATATAATTTAGGTTTAAAGAAACAACCTTTCATGTTACCAAAATACACAAAGAAATCATACTCATTAGCTCACCTGGCTTAAAAAGCCAAATGAGCTTTTCTTATCACATTGCATCTGTCGTCTGTCATTCATCATCCGTAGTCGTTAAGCTTTACAAAAATCCTCTCAATTGAAACTACTGGGCAAAATTTAACCAAACTTGGCCATTGCCATGGTTAAAATTAGAACATAGTGGTAAAATAAAAGTTTGGTCTATTATCTTGAAAACTGTTCTAAAAAGAGATAGTCTGAAATAAGCAAAAATATTCAAAATGAAGAGATCTACCTGATAATATCGAGGAAATCATCCAATGACTCCTTATTGCAGTTATTGCCCTTTAATGATGATTTTTACCATTTTCATGATCAGCAAGACAAGATGTACTAAAAAAAAAGTCAAATATTGCTGATATACTTAGTAGACTGTCACTCTATAGGAGTGGTTGCGGTTAAACGAGGACTTTGGTGGCCAGCTTTTGTGTTTTGAGCAAAAACTAAAGAAGATAGAGAGAAACTTAACAGAATAAATGATCAGCAATACAAGATCAACAAAACAGAGATTTTTGTTATGAACTCTATTTTTGTCTACAATGTTGAATATGCACCTAGACCAAGGTGAGTGACACAGGCTCTTTACAGCCTCTAGTTTTAAATAACCATAGGTAAGGATCTTACCTATGAGGAATCAAAAACAATTAGAATAGAGTAGGTTGAGAAAATAGACATATATTAATAACAAGGAACTGTAGCTAATTGATAATTGTAGGATGTGAAATGTAGTGGAAACTGGATGTGGCCAGCGAAGTTACCAGGTGAAGGGGCAGCATTACTGGATGCCTGTACAGCCATGTGTAATGTCATGAAGAAACTTGGTATTGCTGTTGACGGAGGCAAAGATTCACTCAGTATGGCAGCCAGGGTTGGGGATGAAACTGTTAAAGCACCTGGTTGGTAAATTAATATAGAATTTGTAGAATCTTAATTCCTTGATCAATACTTAAAATAAAATTATGTGCAAACATAAAGTAATTGTTGCAACCTTACATTCATATGAATATTTAGGTTACAATGCTAGTGTTTATTTTACAGATATCTAAAATAAATTAATTGCAGTATTAAAGTTTTGGTATTATGTATATTTGCAGGTACTTTGGTTATATCGGTATATGCTGGATGTCCAGATATAACGGCCACTGTTACACCAGATCTTAAATGTCCAGACGGTCAAGGTTCGTTTTCGTAGTGTGAAAAACTAAAAACCCTTCAAATATTGTTTCATCTCAGCTTCAAGTAAGCGTTCTACTATAAATCTTTCTATGCTTGAAACTAGTTTCCTAACTAAAATTTAGATGAAATACTCTGATGGAAAGATAACGATTGGAATCAAACTTATTGAAAAACACATTTTTTTCCTCCTAGTATCAGAAAATTTAATGAACAACCTTTGCCTTTGTATTTTCAGTTCTGTATCACATTATTTAATTTACATTCAAGGTTCATTATCCATATTAACATACTAAAATTAAACAGAAACTTTGACAATCTTAGAGATGTTTGTTGCAATCAATTCCTATGAGCACACTTTTGCATTGAATAAAAAAGATGTGGGTTATAGGTCAATGAAACAACAACAAAAAACAATGATAAAAGTTCATGTAGAGTCTACAAATATAAACAAGTGTCTATACTATTAGTTATCTTGGTGTAATCAGGGGTGTACAGAATTTTACACTGTTGTTGAAAATTCATACACCCTGAGGCGCAGCTGAATGGGTGTATGAATTTTCAACAACGGTGTAAAATTCCGTACACCCCTGATTACACCAAAATAACGAATTTATTTCTTATGAACAATTCCTTTACTCATTTTTAAACAGGGATGTAAAATTGAAAAATGCTAATGAAAAATTTCCAGTGTAACATTTTTTCAACGTTGATGTTGCTGCGTATTGTCAAATACTTTTTTTCTTTATTTTTGGGAAATTCAGAAAAAAAAATTTGTTCTTTTGAATTTTCGGGAAAACAAAAATTAAAAAAAAATTTTTTTTTTAATTTTTTACAAATTTTTGTCCTCTAGTTTATTAAGTCTCCCAAACGAAGTTTGGGAAGACTTATTGTTTTTGCTCAGTTCTTGTTATTATTATTCTTCTTCTTCTTCTTCTTCTTCTTCTTCCGCCGCTTTTAAATTTGAACTTGTCCGCACCCGTTCTCCAAAACCGCTTGTCAGATTAACTTAGGGTTTCACAATATGTTAGACTAACATGTCTAGTGGTGCAATCAGGGTTTTGTTTGTGCAATGGGGTTTATAAAGGGGTACTTTGAGGGGCAAAAAGAAAAGAGGGTTTTACTATAGAACCCTATGGGATTTTATTTTTTAAAATTTTCAAATGATTATAAATTGAAAACCGTTTGTGATAGACACAATCTTTTTAATTGAAAATGTTCTAAATGATAAAGCCCATTAAATGAAATACAGGGTTAGTCCCCCAGGGGTCACCCCCACCCCCTGCCATTTAAGAAAGTTCTAATACCTTGTAAGTGGTCAGGATCCCCACCCCTAAACCATATATATTCTGGTTTGTCATGCTAAGATGGTTTGAATGATATACAGGGTTAGTCCCCAGGGGTCATCCCGACCCCCTGCCATTTGAGAAAGTTCTAATATCTTGTTAATGGTCGAGATCCCCACCCCTAAACCATATATATTCTGGTTTGTCATGATAAAGCACATCAAATGTAATACAGGGTTAGTCCCCAGGGGTCACCCCCACCCCCTGCCATTTAAGAAAGTTCTAATATCTTCTAAGTGGTCAAGATCCCCACCCCTAAACCATATATATTCTGGTTTGTCATGCTAAGATGGTTTGAATGATATACAGGGTTAGTCCCCAGGGGTCATCCCGACCCCCTGCCATTTGAGAAAGTTCAAATATCTTGTAAATGGTCGAGATCCCCACCCCTAAACCATATATATTCTGGTTTGTCATGATAAAGCACATCAAATGAAATACAGGGTTAGTCCCCAGGGGTCACCCCACCCCCTGCCATTTAAGAAAGTTCTAATACCTTGTAAGTGGTCAAGATCCCCACCCCTAAACCATATATATTCTGGTTTGTCATGCTGAGATGGTTTGAATGATATACAGGGTTAGTCCCCAGGGGTCATCCCGACCCCCTGCCATTTGAGAAAGTTCTAATATCTTGTTAATGGTCGAGATCCCCACCCCTAAACCATATATATTCTGGTTTGTCATGATAAAGCACATCAAATGTAATACAGGGTTAGTCCCCAGGGGTCACCCCCACCCCCTGCCATTTAAGAAAGTTCTAATATCTTCTAAGTGGTCAAGATCCCCACCCCTAAACCATATATATTCTGGTTTGTCATGCTAAGATGGTTTGAATGATATACAGGGTTAGTCCCCAGGGGTCATCCCGACCCCCTGCCATTTGAGAAAGTTCAAATATCTTGTAAATGGTCGAGATCCCCACCCCTAAACCATATATATTCTGGTTTGTCATGATAAAGCACATCAAATGAAATACAGGGTTAGTCCCCAGGGGTCACCCCACCCCCTGCCATTTAAGAAAGTTCTAATACCTTGTAAGTGGTCAAGATCCCCACCCCTAAACCATATATATTCTGGTTTGTCATGCTGAGATGGTTTGAATGATATACAGGGTTAGTCCCCAGGGGTCATCCCGACCCCCTGCCATTTGAGAAAGTTCTAATATCTTGTAAATGGTTGAGATCCCCACCCCTAAACCATATATATTCTGGTTTGTCATGATAAAGCACATCAAATGAAATACAGGGTTAGTCCCCAGGGGTCACCCCCACCCCCTGCCATTAAAGAAAGTTCTAATATCTTCTAAGTGGTCAAGATCCCCACCCATAAACCATATATATTCTGGTTTGTCATGCTAAGATGGTTTGAATGATATACAGGGTTAGTCCCCAGGGGTCATCCCGCCCCCCCTGCCATTTGAGAAAGTTCTAATATCTTGTAAATGGTTGAGATCCCCACCCCTAAACCATATATATTCTGGTTTGTCATGATAAAGCACATCAAATGAAATACAGGGTTAGTCCCCAGGGGTCATCCCGACCCCCTGCAATTTGAGAAAGTTCTAATATCTTGTAAATGGTCGAGATCCCCACCCCTAAACCATATATATTCCTATTTGTCATGTCTCGAACATTTGAATGACGTATACGGTCAGTCCCCAGGGGTTCCCCCCACCCCAATGTTCTTATATCTTGTAAATGGTTGAGATCCCCACCCCTAAACCATATATATTCCTGTTCCTCATGTAATGAACATTTGAATGACATATAGGGCCAGTCCCCAGGGGTTCCTCCCCACCCCCAATGTTCTAGTATCTTGTAAATGGTCGAGATCCCCACCCCTAAACCATATATATTCTGGTTTGTCATGCCAAGATGATTTGAATGATATACAAGGTTAGTCCCCAGGCATCACTAATGCATATAACTTTACTGGACCAAACCAATTTTCACTGGATGTGGCCCAATGTCAGGCGACCCTGGGAATTACGAATTATGGGAGCTTCGTTTGGGAGACTTCGTAACAGCATCCTGTTACAATCATTTCTTGTTTATTTTTTATTTTTTGTATATTTTTTTTTGTTGACATTTTATTTATTTATTTTTTGTTGTTGACATTTTATTTTTTTTCTTTATTTTGACAAATTTTTTATTTTTTTATTTTTTTGGCAAAATTTTATTTATCCCGGGGTGAACAAGGGTGGGGTGTTATTTACACCGGGGTAATTAACCAATCAGATTGCAGTATTTTTGCTGCATAAGAAATAAAATAATCTCTCTGAGTATAGAACAGTGGATAAACTAAGCAGAGAATCTCATTAATGTGGTGCATTGTTAACCAAGAAGGATTTAAATGATTATTCCTTAAGGCCAATCACACAAAATTATTGTCCTAGAGTCACTCTCAAATTAAAATTTAATGCAATATGTTCAATTCCAGTTAGTGTACCTGTAACATGCTCTCTTCATAAAAATGCTTGTAATATGTTCTGCTGGACACTATAAGCAACAATCTATCTTATCTTTGTTCTGCAGAGAGAGAAAAAAGACAATTTAATATTTTCTTGAAATCTTGATGTCAATTATTAACACAATGTATACATATAAGATGAAATGCATGATGGCATAAAATATTTAGACATTTAAAATCCATGCTGAAGCTTATAAGGAGGAAAAACAAGTGGGATTCTTAAATTTAGGTGTAGTATATGCTTTGGTTTATGAGGATTTCATTTAACATAATATACAAGCAATGTTGAATGTAAAGCATGAAAGTGCTTCTTGTTCTGCAGCTCAAATGGTTTTTGGCCTTGTGCCAAGTTGTGGTCAGATTTTTTTTTTATTAATATCTATTTTGTTTATTGTAGGCAGTTTACTGTACATAGATTTGAGTTGTGGCAAACATAGGTTAGGAGGATCTTCATTAGCTCATTGTTATGGTCAGTTAGGGAACATCTCACCTGACCTTGATGACCCTGATATGTTTGTTAGTGCCTTCAATCTCACACAGAGACTTATAAAAGGTAGGTTTATAAACAGAACATACATATATATATATAAAGTAGCATACATGCATGTTATTCTTTTGAAAATAAAAAGTAGGTTGTGACTTACATGAAAGAAATAGAATATTAAGTTCTCTAGCTTCTTTCACCTTGGTTCCTAACAAATAGCAAAATATGGAAGACATTTTGAACTCCCTAATTACATGGTTATTGGTTGCATTGCAGCTAGTATTTTATTTATGGAAAATCATTTTCAAAAATACTACAGTCTGTGCAAGATCCATGTTGTTAAGTAACCATGTAGTAGTAGTGAATTGTTCTTTATGGCCCTGTCGTAATTTCTGCTTCTTGCTATGTTTTGTCTATAGTTTTAAAGCCAGCAAATACGAATAAACTCACAAAACTTGTGACTAAACTAAGGGATAAATAAATACGGCCGTCAAATCTGTTGTCTGTTCTCTCTCATCATTGGTAGCGTGAATAAATAATCAATAGTAGAAAATGATACTTTTATTAAACTTCTAGAACAGCCGATATATTTCCATACATGTACAATATTCGAGCAACAATTGTATAATTTACATACGGGACCGCGGAGCTACTAAAATAACATTCTTTCTCTTGTATTTTTGTACGGACCAAACGGGATTATCTTAATAAATTCTACAATGACAACGTAAATAAATGCAAGGCATACAGCTATCTGCGCTGCTTCTTACCTCTAAACTACGACCCTTACTTGTAATATAAACTGCGAGGCATACAGCCAAATGCGCTGCTTCTCACCTCTAGGAACCCCCGGGCTGAGCCTTGCTGCAAGCCAAATATAAACACAGCAAAGACTGACGAACGTGACGTTGCACTGGTATTTATTTGAAATTCCCGGAAGTAAATATTCTAAGCAAGAAGAAAAACATAACGTCAAACGCTGACATAAAATATACAAGTCCTCGACTCAAAATGCTTATAATAATACACTTTTGTTACTAAAACAATCAAGACATATTATTTCTTCCAGTTGAGAGCTCACAAATGAACACTTTTGGGTTCACGATTACAAAATTAACCCAACGGTAACGTTCTGAATAATACATGACAAATTTGCGCCATATATGACGTAATCGATACATCTAATAACATAAAGTAAAACGTACGTTAATTACTCATTCAATATACTAGAAATACTAGAAATAACTTCTGACAACTCATATAAACTCTCTTATTACAATAATAACAATATTTCTTTACTTGGAAATAACCAATACACACATTTACAACAGGCCCCATCAAGAACAATTTGACCCAATTACCTAAAGAGGTGGTTAAAAATTAAATAATATTATTATTTGAAAAGGTGCAAAGACAAAACTGTATTAAGTCAAGAATATAAATGTTAACCACTTTGACCATTCCATTTCAGACAGGAAGTTGGTTTCTGGCCATGATATAAGTGACGGAGGATTGATAACATGTCTTTTAGAGATGTCCTTTGCTGGTAACTGTGGACTAGACATTGATATTTCTTGTGATTCAGGTAAAATAGATTTTATATCAAATTATGGGATAGATATTGATATTCCTTCTGATTAAAGTAGAATGTAGTTTACATTGAATTGTGAGATATATTAGCAAATTTGTAAAGATTCTGGTAAGACAAGTTTGCATTACTGATATAAATGTGGAAGGTCAGTTTTACCTTCTAGCATTATTGAAAAGTAGCTAATTTATGTTAAATTATAATGGCTCCTCTGTTTTATAGTGCTTTTATTTTGTTGAAATAAAAGGAATACCATCTGTGTCTAATAAGTTTTTTGACTAATAGCAGTGATGTACAAGGAAATCAATGTATGTATGATTGTACTCATTTATGTCAGCTGAATACACTGATCCAGAATACTATCTTTTTTTCAGTGTTGCCTCATCAGACATATTCATGAAATGAAGTTTTTCACCTTACAATATATATGAAACATACCTTTCCAGCGAGGAAGTGACCAAGATATACCAACAGCTTTTAAATAAGATCTTTTACACAACGAATTATTGAATGTTTCTAATACTCTATATTTGATGGGTTTTATATGAAGATGAGATTTGTAATAAGATAAGATGGCATTTTCTAATTTTTCATTTTCTTCAAAATTAGAACTTTTTTATGATGGTTTCTAAAAGATGAATCAATAAAAAGCAGTACATTTTGTACAAGGTAATAAAAAGTATTGAATATAATTGAAAGTTGAAAATATAAAAATGAGGAATGTATGCTTTATTCTTATTTTTCAGATGTGCCATTCATTGATTTGTTGTTTGCTGAAGAACTGGGTTTTGTATTTGAAGTATCAGAGAATAATGAACAGGATGTTTTAGGTGCCTTTTCTGCAGTAAATATTCCATGCTTTTTTATTGGACATTCCACAAAAGATACCAAAAAGGTACGTTTATGAAGGTAATGTGTTGAATTGACTCTTCGAATGAAGAACCTGATTAAAAACCTAAAATTATTAATAAATTATGATATTCTGAAGACATTGGTAACTATCTTCTGCAAACTCCATACTGTGTTATCATGAGGAACATACTTCCATCTCTCTAAATAGCACTTTGTAAATACTGCTGCTAGTCCCCAAATGTTCCATCAGCCCAGTATTGTAGTCAGTGCTTTAGTACTGACATGATTTATAACATACATGTATTTACTTGTAATTGATTGTTGTTTATTTAACATCAAATGCCAAATGTTTCATACCTTTTCAGGACAAAAACAAATGATTTATCCATACAAAAATGAAAACAACAGGTTAAGTAAATTTTTTGAGTCTATAGTGCATTTCTGGATTTACCTTCATCAGGAATGCTCAAAGGCGAATATATGAAAGCCGAGAATGTATGAGAACCGAACATTTGAAGAGCTACATGACAAAAAAAACCTAAAAAAGCCAAATCCATCTAAGGCCTATGTACAATAAATAATATTGGTCGATCATGGTGATATTGATTTTTAAAACATTTGCTTAGTTTACATGTATTATTTTGCAATTAGGACAGTTTATGGAGAACAACTACTGGAAAGTCAATGATATTTGGTATACAGTTGTATTAGCATGGGCAAATCTCATTTCCATGGAGATTATTTGACTCCGCCTCGTTAGTCATGGTTTATTGACTTTGAATATTATCTAAAACTTGCATGTTAAGATATTGCTTTTTTAATTTCAACATTTGCATTTTAATATCAAAATTACATAACAAATGTCTGTGTCTGTCTGGCAGGTAAACTCTGACTTTGACCTCATTTTCATAGTTCATTGGTCATTGTTAAGTTTTTGTCTGTTTTTCAATTATCATTAACAATAAATCAACTATATTTGGTGTATGGAATAATTGTAAGGAGAACATGTCTGTCTGACAGGATTAATCTGATCTTGACCTTAGTGTTATGGATCTTTAGAGATGTTAAGTTTATGTGTTACTTGTAGTAAAACCTTTCTCATTATGATTTCCATTATAAAATCAATGGTGAGTAAAACTGGTAAGACATTTCACCGTGTGCACTCTTGTGTTTATGTAGGACTGGAAAACCATTGAAGTAACACAAATAACAAATAGTAAAAAAAGTAAGTGCTTTTCCTGAAGTGCAATGGTCAATATGTTGTCGTTACCTGCCAACATTTCAAAATGTCCATGAGGGTTTTATGTGCAAGATGGCTCTCATAGTCCCACAAAACCTTTAAAGAGGCCTTCAAATTTATTTTAATGGTGTTTATTCGCTTCTTCATACTTTTATGATCATTTACCCAAGGTAAAATTGATTATTTTGTTTCATTTGTGGACAAAATTGCTCTTTCAAAATTTCCAATTGAGAGCCTCCATGGGGGTAATCCCCCACAAATAGTGACAGTTGGCAGGTATGGTTGTCAGTTACAGTTTCAAAATAAATGAGAGATTTGCTGACATTATTCTGCCTTAACAGTCTTTCTTAACTTTGTTCCTCTCATGAGTTCTACTTTAATCCTTAAATTATAATACAAAGAGAGTGTATGTGTACCCTTTTGTAGTGAGAGAATACCACACTCCATCTCAATTTTTGTTGAGCCTGCAACTTTTGTCACAGAAAGCTCGACATAGGGATAGTAATCCTGCAGCGGCGTCAGCATTAACTAACTTCTGAAAAGCCTTATATTTTAGAAGGTGGAAGAGCTGGATGATTCATACTTTGTATATAGATGCTTTATGTAACGAAGTTTCCGTCTGTCACATGTCCATTGTCCTTGACCTCATTTTCATGGTTCAGTGACTACTTGAAAAAAAAGTTAAGATTTTTTGTAATGTTAATTTCTCTCTTATTATGAGTAATAGGATAACTATGTTTGGTATGTGCGTACCTTGCAAGGTCCTCATGCCCGTCACAGTTTTCACTTGACCTCGACTTCATTTCATGGATCAGTGAACAAGGTTAAGTTTTGGTGGTCAAGTCCATATCTTAGATACTATAAGCAATAGGTCTAGTATATTTGGTGTATGGAAGGATTGTAAGGTGTACATGTCCAACTGGCAGGTGTCATATGACCTTGACCTAATTTTCATGGTTCAGTGGTTATAGTTAAGTTTTTGTGTTTTGGTCTTTTTTTCTTATACTGTATACAATAGATTTACTATATTTGGTGTATGGAATGATTGTAAGGTGTACATGTCCAACTGGCAAGTGTAATCTGACCTTTACCTCATTTTCATGGTTAGTGGTGAAAGTTAAATTTTTGAGTTTCGGTCTTTTTATGGCCCAGCAACAAAGTCGTCGGGGTCATATGGTTTTACCCTTGCCCGTCATTCCGCCATTCTGTCATTCCGTCATTCCCTCATTCCTTCATTCCGTCATTACGTCATTCCGCAACAAACCATTATACAGACTTTTTTTCTGAACGCCTTCAGATATTGGGCTGATTTTTGTAATGTGAGTTAACCATGATGAGTTACAGATCAAGTTTAAGTTTCGTTCCGCTCTGCTAATTTTTGCTGAAATTACGGGCTTTGGACTTTGATAAATTGTTGAAAATCACAGTTATACAGACTTTTTTTCTAAACGCCTTCAGATATTGGGCGGATTTTTGGTATGTGAGTTAACCATGATGAGGTACAGATCAAGTTGAAGTTTCGTTCCGCTCTGCTAATTTTTGCTGAAATAACAGGCTTTGGACTTTGATAAATTGTTGAAAATCACAGTTATACAGACTTTTTTTCTAAATGCCTTCAGATATTGGGCTGATTTTTGTTATGTGAGTTAACCATGATGAGTTACAGATCAAGTTTAAGTTTCGTTCCGCTCTGCTAATTTTTGCTGAAATTACAGGCTTTGGACTTTGATAAATTGTTGAAAATCACAGTTATACAGACTTTTTTTCTAAACGCCTTCAGATATTGGGCGGATTTTTGGTATGTAAGTTAACCATGATGAGGTACAGATCAAGTTGAAGTTTCATTCCGCTCTGCTAATTTTTGCTGAAATAACAGGCTTTGGACTTTGATAAATTGTTGAAAATCACAGTTATACAGACTTTTTTTCTAAACGCCTTCAGATATTGGGCTGATTTTCGGTATGTGAGTTAACCATGATGAGTTACAGATCAAGTTTAAGTTTCATTACTCTCTACTAATTTTTGCTGAAATTACGGGCTTAGGACTTGGATAAATTGTTGAAAATCACAGTTATACAGACTTTTTTTCTACATGCCTTTAGATATTGGGCTGATTTTTGTTATGTGAGTTAACCATGATGAGTTACAGATCAAGTTTAAGTTTCGTTCCGCTCTGCTAATTTTTGCTGAAATTAAGGGCTTTGGACTTTGATAAATTGTTGAAAATCACAGTTATACAGACTTTTTTTCTAAACGCCTTCAGATATTGGGCGGATTTTTGGTATGTGAGTTAACCATGATGAGGTACAGATCAAGTTGAAGTTTCGTTCTGCTCTGCTAGTTTTTGCTGAAATAACAGGCTTTGGACTTTGATAAATTGTTGAAAATCACAGTTATACAGACTTTTTTTCTACATGCCTTTAGATATTGGGTTGATTTTTGGTATGTGAGTTAACCATGATGAGTTACAGATCAAGTTTAAGTATCGTTACTCTCTGCTAATTTTTGCCGAAATTACAGGCTTTGGACTTTGATAAATTATTGAAAATCACATTTATACAGACTTTTTTTCTAAACACCTTTAGATATTGGGCTGATTTTTGGTATGTGAGTTAACCATAATGAGTTACAGATCAAGTTTAAGTTTCGTTCCGCTCTGCTAATTTTTGCCGAAATTACGGGCTTTGGACTTTGATAAATTGTTGAAAATCACAGTTATACAGACTTTTTTTCTAAACACCTTTAGATGTTGGGTTGATTTTTGTTATGTGAGTTAACCATGAATTGTGTTACAGATCAAGTTTAAGTTTCATTTTTCTCTGCTGATTTTTGCCGTAATTACGGGTTTTGGACTTTGAAAATTGTTGAAAATCACTGTTACACAGACTTTTTTTTCTGTATGCCTTCAGATTATGCGCTGATTTTTGATATGTGAGTCAACCATGATGAGTTACAGATCAAGTTTATGTTTCGTTCCGATATGCTGATTTTCATGTCGTTTCAACACATCTTCAGTACATCCACTTCCTGTTTGCTGATAGTTTGAAATTTAACTACTTATTGATCAAGGAAATTTTTCATCAAACTAGTATTGGTCTTGAGAGCTGGATACTATCCATGCATGTTTGTGTCCACATGTGTTGTTGAAATTGCAGATTTTTTCTGTTTTTTGAGACGGGGCCATTCGTGTCATTCTAATACTATATGCAATAGGTCAACTATATTTGGTGTATGGAAATATTTAATGATGTACATGTCAGTCTCGCAGGTTTTATTTGACCTTGACCTCATTTTCACGGTTCATTGCTCAGTGTTAAGTTTTTTGTGTTTTGGTCTGTTTTTCTTAAATTATAAGCAATAGGTCAACTATATTTATTGTATGGAAGGATTGTAAGCTGTACAATGTACTACATGTCTACCTGGCATGGTTCATCTGACCTTGACCTCATTTTCATGGTTCATTGGTCAATGGTTAATTTTCTTGGTTAAGTCTGTTTCTTAGAAACTATAAGCAATAGGTCAACTATATTTAGTGTATTGAATGATTGTAAGGTGAACATGTATTTCTCGTCTGGGTTATATGAACTTGACCTCATTTTCTTGGATCATGTTAAGTTTATGTGATAGTTGTAGTAAAGTTTTATATTTAGGACTATCAACATAATATCAATGGTTAGGAAAGAATGCGAGACATTTCAGCGTGTGCACTCTTGTTAGGATTTTCAGTTTTCTTACTAAAGGTCGGTGGTTCTCTGTGGGCACTACCGCTTCCTCCAACAATAAAAACTGACAGCCACTAAATAACACAATACATGTAGCACCTATCAATCAATCATTTGAATTGCTGTGTTAAGAATTCTGGATCTAATTTCATACTCATGTTGATGGTGAAAATGGTATTTAATAGAGGGAAATAAGAGATAGAGAAACAGCAAAGATGGACAGAGATTTGAACTTATAGGAAGACAAAAGAAATAAAATGATCAATAAATATCCTCTAATTAATGTAAACATTTATATCAGTAACCGATTTTTCCATTTCAGATAAATATATCGGTAAATACACAGGAGATATTGCATGAAGACATGACATTTCTCAGAGATATTTGGGAAGAAACCAGCTTTCAATTAGAGCGTTTTCAAACAGACTACCAGTGTGTACAGCAGGAACAGCAAGGATTGAAAGAGAGACTAGAGCCTCCTTATCATATACCGTTTGAATCAGAAATCATCAGTTTTGTTCCCAGAGGTAGACCACCAAGTATGTGTTGGTATATTAACTCACTTTCACTTTGAGACATTTACAAAATAATGTTTTTAACAGAATTTATAAAAATATTTTTTGTCCAAAGTTTTGACCTTTTAGTTACTCTAGACTGAATGTCAGACAGATATGTGACGTTGAGTGAGCTTGTAATAAGTCATCTGGACTAAATAGACCAATAGAGGGTTTATTGGAATAATGAAATAAAATTACAAATTGTTTTGGGAAATCTTAAAATTTAATATATCTGCTGCATATTTAAATGGGCTGTTCCTTTCAATTCAGTTAAAATTGAAATACCCAAGATAAATGGGGATAGATATGATTCACCTTGTCTATTTGTGGATCTGTCTGCATTTTAATCACAATTCTGAACAGCTTAACAGATATTCATGAAACTTTACTAAGTTGGTGAACACTATGTTGGTTAAAGGGGAGATAAGCTGATTTGCCATCTATTTTAATTGTTCACATCATACTAAACATGTTCTAACTGTAAGTTTAAAGTTGATGTGACCACAACATTACATGATAAATATAAACTACCTTGAACAAAAACGTTAACCTGACATTGCATGGTTTGATTCAGAAACAAGAAAACAGTAGTCACCACCTACAATAGAAGGGGTTTTATGTTTCCTGGTCTTGCTTCAGTCTGCCAGTTCTCTAAGCCATATTAGATTAAAGAATTGTACATTGTAGTGATATCAACTTGACACTTAAAACACCTGTACATAATGATGTTGACTTTTTAAAATATATGTTTTATTAGAGTTTTGACTGAACATGGAAATATAATTTTGTGATTTGGGCATGTTGTCCTTTGGAAACATATTCTTGTTTCATTAGCTTTTAATTTAATAATGAATAGATAAATGATGGTTGTAAATGAAACACTTGTCTCCAATAATGAACTTATGAGTTAATATGTTATAAGATGCCACATAAGTGCCACTTAAGAGGTAATCTTTATGATAACTCCTACATGTGTATTCCTGGAGATGACGAAGAAAATTCAGATTGTCTCTTGATACTATTACTAATTCACCATTTCACACTTATTTAACTGCATGGGGCTACTTGCGTTGTCATGTTTGTTTTTGCATTATAACTACAGATTTAGTTTTGAATGGAAGTGACGGGTAACTTGATGAATGATGAAACCAAAATTATGGTAAAGTGTCCACTCATTTTAACTAGTAATCTTAATTCAGTTCAAACAACTTTGATTAAAGGTAATTACAATACAGATTCTCTTATTCAATTTGAAGATTGCAAAATACCCTAGTATATATTTCAAACACTACATGTTTTTAGCTCACCGTTCTGAAGGAACTGTGAGCTTTCGCCATCAGTTGGCGTCGGTCGTCATCTGTCGTTGTCCGTCGTCGTCCGTCTGGTGTAAACTATTTCAAACATCTTCTCCTCTGAAGCTACTGAACCAATTCCAACCAAACTTAAGCTGAATGATGCTTAGGGTATCTAGAATAAAGTTTGTGTTTTATTTACTGTTTTGTCAAATAACATGGCCGCCATGGCTAAAAATAGAACATAGGGGTAAAATGTAGTTTTTGGCTTATATCTCAAAAAACAAAGCATTTAGAGCAAATCTGACATGGGGGGGGGGGGGGGGGGGGGGTTAAGTGTTCATTAGATAAAGTTCTATCAGCCCTGAAATTTTCAGTTGAATCTGATAACCCATTGTTGGGTTGCTGCTACTAAATTGGTAATTTTAAGGAAATTTTGCAGTTTTTGGTTATTATCTTGAATCTTATTACTGATACAGATAGACTGTGAACAGCAAAAATGTTCAGCAAGGTAAGATCTACAAATAAGTTTGTATGATCAAAATTGTCAATTGACCCCTTAAGGAGTTATTGCCCTTTAAGGACAATTTTACACAATTTGTTTATGTTTTCTAACTTTAAAAAATCTTCTTCTCTGAAACTACTGAACCAATTCCAACCAAACTTAAGCTGAATGATTCTAAGGGTATCTAGAATAAAAATTGTGTTTTATTTTCTGTTTTGTAAAAAAACATGGCCACCATGGCTAAAAATAGAATGTAGGGGTAAAATGCAATTTTTGGCTTATATCTCAAAAACCAAAGCATTTAGAGCTAATCTGATGAGAGGTAAAAATGTTTATTAGTCCAAGCTCTGTCAGCTCTGAAATTTTCAGATGAATCTAACAACCCATTGTTGGATTGCTGCCACTTAATTGGTAATTTTAAGGAAACTTTGCAGATTTTGGTTATTATCTTGAATATTATTAATGATAAAGGTAAACTGTAAACAGCAAAAATGTTCAGCAAAGTAAGATCTACAAATAAGTTTGTATGACCAAAATTGTCAATTGTCCCCTTAAGGAGTTATTGCCCTTTAAAATCAATTTTTCACAATTTGTTCATTTAGTTTGCTTACTTTAAAAAATCTTCTCCTTTGAAACTGCTGAATCAATTTCAGCCAAACTTGGGCTGAATGAGTTTCAGAGTATTTAGTATAAATTTTGTATTTTATTTTCTTATACGTCAAGAAACATAGCCACTATGGCTAAAATGAAACATAGAGGTAAAATGCATTTCTTTGATTTTGAAGAAAATATGACAGATACAAAGAACATTTCAATGGAAGTTTTAAGCCATTCATTAATATATTGAAAAGCAAAAATAATCATTGATGAAAGATTTAAGCAAAAAATTACAGGTGAGCAATTCAGGCTCTTGAGAGCCTCTTGTTTTATTAAATTTTGTTGTCTTGAAATGGTCAAAAAGATCAGTCGGTCGAATTGTGCAATGGTCTATTAAGAATTTGATTGGGTAACCCATTACTCCGGATCTAACCAACAGTATAGTATACTGATCTGTATATATACTCAACAACTTGTATATGTTTTACTTCCTGAAGTATTGTTGTTAACTTTTCATTGTAACAATATCATTTTTAGCTCACCTGGCCCGAAGGGCCAAGTGAGCTTTTCTCATCACTTGGCGTCCGTCGTCCGTCGTCCGGCGTCGTCCGTCGTCGGCGTAAACTTTTTACATTTTGAACTTCTTCTAGAGAACCACTGAATGGAATGAAACCAAACATGGCATGAATGTTCCTTATGAGGTGCTGACCAAGTGTTGTTACTTTGTAGCCGATCCATCATCCAAGATGGCCGCCAGCGGTGGACTTAGTTTAACATAGGACCCTATGGGAAATACATACAAATGTCTTCTTTTAGAGAACCACTGAATGCAATGAAACCAAACATGGCATGAATGTTCCTTATGAGGTGCTGACCAAGTGTTGTTACTTTGTAGCGGATCCATCATCCAAGATGGCCGCCAGCGGTGGACTTGGTTTAACATAGGACCCTATGGGAAATACATACAAATGTCTTCTTTTAGAGAACCACTGAATGCAATGAAACCAAACATGGCATGAATGTTTCTTATGAAGTGCTGACCGAGTGTTGTTACTTTGAAGCCGATCCATAATCCAAGATGGACGCCAGCTGGGGACTTAGTTTAACATAGGACCCTATGGGAAATACATACAAATGTCTTCTTTTAGAGAACCACTGAATGGAATGAAACCAAACATGGTATGAATGTTCCTTATGAGGTGCTGACCAAGTGTTGTTACTTTGTAGCGGATCCATCATCCAAGATGGCCGCCAGCGGTGGACTTAGTTTAACATAGGACCCTATGGGAAATACATACAAATGTCTTCTTTTAGAGAACCACTGAATGGAATGAAACCAAACATGGCATGAATGTTCCTTATGAGGTGCTGACCAAGTGTTGTTACTTTGTAGCGGATCCATCATCCAAGATGGCCGCCAGCGGTGGACTTAGTTTAACATAGGACCCTATGGGAAATACATACAAATGTCTTCTTTTAGAGAACCACTGAATGGAATGAAACCAAACATGGCATGAATGTTTCTTATGAGGTGCTGACCGAGTGTTGTTACTTTGAAGCCGATCCATAATCCAAGATGGACGCCAGCGGTGGACTTAGTTTAACATAGGACCCTATGGGAAATACATACAAATGTCTTCTTTTAAAGAACCACTGAATGGAATGAAACCAAACATGGCATGCATGTTCCTTTTGAGGTGCTGACCAAGTGTTGTTACTTTGAAGCTGATCCTTCATCCATGATGGCCGCCAATGGGGGGACTTCCTTTAACATAAGACCCTATGGGAAATACATACAAATGCTTCTTCTAGAGGTGCACTGAATGGAATGAAACCAAAACATGGCATAAATGTTTCTTATGAGGTGCTGATTAAGTGTTGCTACTTTGTTGCCGATTTACTGTTCAAGATGGCCACCAGGATTTTTTTATTAAATTACAGGACCAATATTAAACCAAATTTGGCCTCACTCATTATTAGGGTATCTGTTATGATTTTAATCTATTTTTACATGATTTCCAAAACCAAAGTAGAATCAGGTGAGCGACACAGGCTCTTGAGAGCCTCTAGTTATGTAATACTTTAGTGTTAAAGTGAGCTGATAGTGAATCAATCAATATTAAATCCTCTTGTGAAGTAAATATCTCTGTCTTAAGTACTATGTATCAAAAGAAACCCTTTATTTTGGAGCTTAAAGATTCAGGAACAATAACTCTGTTCAGAGAAAAAGTAAAATAAATATCATATGAATTAAAAAATACTTTTGTTATGTTAAACGTTGTTAAGACACTTTATTTATTAGCAGTCAGTCAACAAAGAATAGAAAAAAAGCCATCTCTGAACTTTAAAAGAAAACCTGTAACTACATTGTGTAAACAATGGCTTTAAATAGACCAAGTGTAATAACCTAACCTATAAATAGATGAATAAGGTCTTACCTGAAACCAATATATTATTCATGTGTTTGTTGTAGATTTAAATTTTTTTTAACTCGATTGATTTTTTGTTTTGAATGTATGAAATAATGGTTAAAGAGAAAAAAATATCTATCTTTAGTAAAATCTTTACATTAAATTCTTAAGATTGCAATAATATTTGTCTATTTATAGCAAAATATATTTTTCATATGTCAAATACAGGGATTATTTTTGAAATGGTAGTACGAAGAAAAATCCTTTCATATCAAGAGTAAAAAATAAACCGGTCGTGTGGTGTGATGGTGTATAAAGATACAGGATAACCCATCACTTCGGACCTGGCTTAATAATTACAGTTACTGAATTATATATATGTCTAAAGATTTGTACTACTTGTATTCTCTGGGGTATGAATTTATCCTTGTAATTAGATTCTCTTACTTCACATTCTGTATATTGCCTGCAAGAGTTCTATATTGACAAAGTCAGCCATTGTTTAACTTGTATAAAACTTATGAATAAACAAATATTCTGCAGCCTGGAACTATAAAGATAAGTTGAAAAAAGGATATATAAGGAACAGTAACTCTGTTTTGTACTATTGTAATGCTATTTACAGTATATTTACTTTCATTTAAACCTGAAGGGGCATTTAATTTACTTCTTTTTTACCCCCTCTCTATAAAAAAAACAAACAAAAAACAAAACCAAAAAAAACTGATATGAGCTTAAAATTAGTGTTTCAAAATCAATAAATTTTCTGCTTATGGGAGAAAAATAACCCCAGAACTAAGTAATTTTTTCCTTTGTTTACACTTCAAAAGACCATGTTGCCAAAACTACTTGAGTAACTTTTGTAAACATTCTGTCGATAACCTATTCATGCGCATTACAAATGCATGTGATCCTGTGGTTCATTTGAAACTGGAAAAAAAAAATACAGAGCTGCATATTATTACAAATCTATTACATGACAAATAGAATTATGCATTTCATTAGAGCTTTGAAAAATGTATCAAATTAAACTGAAATAAAATTCAGCAAAATTTCATGAATGATATTGGTGCATTCTTTTTATCACAAAACACGACTGGATACAACTGAAAACTCTCAAACTGAAGCTGGGTTACTGACTCACAAACTTTACATAAAAGTCCGAAGGATTTGAAATTCAGTTTGTGAGTTAGTTGCCCCAGTTTACACAACAATAACCTCTAGAAAAAATGTGTTTAATTTTATAATATTATGAAGAATCTATCTTGACCATTTGCATAAAAAAGCTAAATTAAAGGTTTCCACTTAGTTTCATTCAAACAGTTTCTACAGTAATTCAAATTACATCTCAAGTTTGCTTTGACAGTTTTTCAAATGTTATTATTATAATGTTGCTATAAAAAGTGGTTTGTTCTTATTAAAGGGATGCAGAATTATATACATATCTCTGTGTTAACAGTTTTTTTGATATGTCATGTAAAGTATAGTATGACATAAACATTTTTAATTAGGTATCCTGAGCAGGCTAGCAGTGAGTGTTGTATTGGAATAGATAAAACAAATTGGCAGTGTAAAATGCTGATCTTCAAATTTGATAAGCATACAATCAGCGTGTGATTCTGAAATTCATCTTTTACTAGGTATACCACCAATCAAGGTAGCAGTTTTACGTGAGGAGGGTAGTAATAGTGACAGAGAAATGGCTGCTGTATTACACATGGCAGGCTTTGAAGTTTGGGATGTCAACATGCAGGATATGTGTTCAGGAAAGATAACTCTTGATCAGTTTCGTGGAGTTGTTTTTGTTGGTGGATTTAGTTATGGTGATGTATGTGGGTCTGCTAAAGGTAGGTATTGAATGAAAAGATCACCTATGTCAGCTGTAATTGTGAAACCATGAATTGGAACCCTCATAAATGTAGAGACTCATCAAAATCTTTTTTAATTCTCTGAAATTACCAAAGGATTGTAAATTTAATTGAACTACACATCTTTTATATATGCCTTATGGTCTGAGGCTTCAGACTTCCATTAAATGTTCAATGACTAATTTAAAAACTATACTTTTAAAACTGTAGAGTTTGGTATTTATATACATTGCAAGGTATACCTGTCCATCAGAAAGGGCTCACTTGACCTTGACCCCATTTCTTGGTTCAGTGATCAACATTATACACTTATTTCCTGTGCCTGATGGAGATATGAATATTTGTTCACTCATAAAAATTCACATATTTCCCGAGGGCTATGCCTGAGGGAAAGATGACTTTCGAAGGGGAACAAATCTTCATATCTCCCTCAGGCACGGCAAATAAGTGTATAATGTTTTATTCCACTGACTATACTTTGCTTACTACCTAAACAAAAATATTAAGTTACATACATTATTTTCTTATGCTTTTGTTATATAAACTCAGCATAAACATTGATAAATAGTATCTATCAAAAGTTATAGTTATTTTTTCTTTTTGTTTTAACGTCAAAAAATAATTTTGAATACGAAAATGACTTTACTGTAGCTATTTAAGAAACGTTCATAATATTATGTACTTTAACCGTGCGTAACGTCATATGAGGACGTCCTGATGTTCAGAGGGGAATATGAAGTTTTGTTCAATGTCACGTGGGATAGTTCAACCCATCAAATGTTGATTAAGCTATCAAATTGTACATACAGGGGAAGGATGACTTTTAATGATAAGTTTCGTTTCTCAAATACTATAAGCACTAGATCAACTATATTTGGATGAGTGTAAGGGGTACATATCTACTCGACTCATTTCATCTGCACTTAACCTCATGGTCATGATTCAGACATTGGTTTATGTTAAGTTTTAGTCTCGAGTTCAATTATAAGTAGCAGGTCAACTATATTCAATGGATTATGAGATGGAAGTATAGTTACAGATTTCACTTGACAGTGTAAATTTGTCCTTGACCTTTTGTTTGATTGGTCAAATTAAGTTTTCTTGATTAGGACTGTTTCTCAGATACTTTTTGTAATACCTTGACTATATTGAGTATAGAATGATTGTAAGGTGTGCATGTCCGTTTGACAGAGTTTGCCTGACCTTGACCTCTTTTTTTACGGTTCTTTGATAATTTTGAGTTTCTGTTGTACTTGTATTAACACTATAACTTTCAGCATCAATTGGAATCATAATCAGTAAGGCAGGTGAGACATTTCAGGTTGTAAACTCTTGTAGAGAGCTTAACATGGGGAAGATAGATTATGTGTACATTAAAATAAAATTTTAAAATACTGGCCGTCCGTCCGTCCATCTGTGAGTCAGTGCGTCCGGTATTGTTAGCGCTCTCACGTGTACAGTTCTAGCCAGATTTTTATGAAACTTATATCATATGTTTGTTTCAGCAGTGTCTTTGACGAGTTCGGAAATCAGTGGGGATCAATTATTTTTAAAAGAGTTATGCCCCTTGGAAACATTAATTATATGGCAAATTGCATCGTTAGCACTCTCATGTGTACAATTCTTGCCAGATTTTTATGATACTTATATCGTAGGTTTATATTAGCAATGTCTTTGATGAGTTTGAAAAACAGTGCCAATCAATTATTATTAAAAGAGTTATGCTCCTTAGATACATTAACTTTATGAAAAATTGCATCCTTAGCGCTTTCTTGTGTACAATTCTTTACAGATTTTTATGAAACTTATATCATAGGTTTATATCAGCAATGTCTTGGAAGAATTCCAAAATCAATGTCCAGCAATTATTTATAAAAGAGTTATGCCTCTTGGAAATATTGATTATATGGGAAATTGCAATATTAGCGCTCTCATGTGTACAACTCTTGCTAGAATTTTATGAAACTTATATCATAGGTTTATATCATCATTGTCTTTGACGAGTTCGAAAATCAGTGCAGATCAATTATTTTTAAAAGAGTTATGCCCTTTGAAATATTAATTATATGGAAAATTGCCTGATGAGCGCTCTAATGTGTACAATTCTTGCCAGATTTTTATTAAATTTATATTATAGGTTTATATCATCAATGTTTTTGACGAGTTCGAAAATCAGTGCCGATCAATTATTTTTAAAAGAGTTGTGTCCCTTGGATATATTGATTTTATGGATATATTGATTTTATGGAAAGTTGCATTGTTAGCGCTCTCATGTGTACAATTCTTGCCAGAATTTATTGAAATTTATATCATAGGTTTATATAAGCAATGTCTGACACTTTAGAAAATCAGTGCTGATCAAATATTTTTAATGAGTTATGCCCCTTCGAAAATTTAGTTATAACAGAAATCGCATTGCATTTGCTCTGAAGCCTTCATTTCTCTTAAGATATTTATCAATTGTTTTAAAGAACAAAAAAAAATGTGTTTTATTTAGTTATTGCCCATGTACCTTGGATAGATAAAATATGTGCAAAGCAGGGGACATTGGAACTCTGTTCTTTTATTAGCTCATCTTTTGCAATCAATTGGCATCAGTGAAAGTCAATCTATATTGTCTGTGAACTCTGAAACCACTTATGTAATGTATAGAAGGTCATTTTAGAAATTCCAATCTCCTTCCAATAGGATGTTAGACATTGCTGCCAATGGCAATCTTTTGATTCTGATTGATCATTTATCAAAAATCATCTTTTTATTAAGAAAAATCTAAAACTTGAGGTTTTCTAAGCGTGTTGATGATAACATGGGAACTTTTGGAATCATCAACACTTAGTCTGGCTTTAGTACACAAATTAGAATTTGGCATTCTGATAGTTGGAATTTATAACCAGAAAGAATTATATCTGAAGGCTCAGGTCACTATGTAGTGAGAGCACTTGAATAAAGGAACAAATTCATTTAGTACTGAAAAAATACCTCCAATATAGGACGCCACACATTTTATATTCTTGGTTACACAGCAAAAACATTGTTTCAGTATTGAGGTATAAAAAGACACACATTTGGAACTGAGACAAGAGAAACATTATTGTACATTGTAATACCTGTGTTTGTGAAAATGAAAGTAAGTTATATTTTATTGTAGGCTGGGCAGCATCAATTTTATTTAACCAGAACATCAGAGAACAGTTTCTAAAGTTCAGGAATAGGCCGGACACTTTCAGTTTAGGAGTTTGTAATGGATGCCAGTTAATGGGTTTACTTGATTGGGTAGCCCAAGATGAAGATCAAAAAGGTATTTATTCAGAATCAGTTTAGGAGTGAGTAATGAATAACAGTTAATGTTTCTACTCGATAGGGTAGCTGAAGATAAAGATCAGAAAGGAATTTACCAAATTAGGAATCAGTTTAGGACTGTGTTATGGATACTAGTTAATGGGTTTACTTTATTGGGTAGCTCAAGAAGAAGATCAGAAAAGTATATTAGGAATCAGTTTAGGAGTAGTGTAATGGATACCAAGTTAAAGGGTCTACTTGATTGTGTAGGTCAAGATAAAGATCAGGAATATATTTATCAGGAATAAGTTCAGGAGTGTGTAATAGATGCATGTGAAAGGGTCTACCGGTACTTGATAATGTAGCTCAAGATGAAGATTAGAAAGGTATTAATTAGGAATCAGTTTAGTAGGATGTAATTGATGCCAAGTTAAAAGGATCTACTCAATTTGGGTAGCTCAGGAAGAAGATCAGAAAGGTATGTATAGGGAATCAGCTTAGGAGTAGTGTAATTGATACCAGTTAAAGGGTGTACTTGATAATGTAGCTCAAGATGAAGATTAGAAAGGTATTTATTAGGAATCAGTTTAGGAGGATGTAATTGATGTCAGTTAATTGGTATACTTGACTGGGTAGCTCAAGATGAAGATCAGAAAGTAATTTATTAGGAAAAAGTTTAGGAGTAGTGTAATCGATATCAGTTAAAGGGTCTACTTGATAATGTAACTCAAGATAAAGATCAGAAATGTATTTATTAAGAATCAGTTTAGGTGTATCTAATGGATGTCGGTTTATGGGTCTGCTTGATTGGATATCTGAGGGTTTTAATCAGAAAGGCATTCATTATGACTCAGCCGACTTTTAGCAGGAGTGGTTTGGTAAACAGTCCATTTATTTGTTTGTTGACATATTTGATTTTACCATGAATAGTTAAGGTCATCATTTCGTTTCAGAAAATGTTTCTAGTGGAGTAGGCCAAGGTGTATTTTTAGACCATAACGACTCTGGCAGATTTGAGTGTAGATTTGTAACTGTGAGAGTTCAATCCAGTACATCTATCATGTTCCGTGGTATGGAGGGTACAGTGTTTGGTATGTGGAGTGCCCATGGAGAAGGTAGGTAACTCTGTATAACCTCTAAAATTTCAAATAAAAATACATGGTTATACTTGCACAGTAATTGTAAATTCATAGTTTTAGTTCTCTCACGTTTGACAAATGTCAGGAAGATAGATGTGTTTCTTTTCCAACAATAGTATAATTAACACCTTAGAAATTCTAACTACATTCATATCAGAATACGTTTTTAAGATCCAGTTTGTAATTAGTTGTGTCAGCAGCCATGCACCACAATGTCACTATCTAGTAGTATGTAGTTGCAATAGATCCCTGAAATTCTGTTGTTCAGGGAATATGTGCCAGTGACAATCTGATCAGCTTCAATGGGGTTTCAGATTTTCAAATGTTAAGGTTTCTAATTAGCTGTGTTTTAACCGAGGCATATTACTATACCACTGATATTAGGTTTGCAATTGACACAAGAAGGCCTTTATTTCAGTTTCAAGCAGAATTTAAGGCTACACCTCCTGATCAAGCTCCAGTAACTTTTAAAATTTTTAATATCTCAGATGTTTTTTTTCCCCACTCTTTTTATTTGGACTTTTTGTTGCTTGCAAAATAGTACGGTGACTGAGTGAGGAAAAGTCGCATATTTACATGGTTTAATTGTCATTCAGAATATATGGCTAAAAATCACTGTATTGGTAGTTCAAAGACTAAATTTTACATTTAGACTTGTCGTCAAAAAATCGTATGGTGCAATTTTTGTAAAATTGGCTTTAAAGTACGATAGCTAACTTTAAAGACAAATTGACATTGACAAGTTTTTAGGTCTACATTCTAAAAGAACATTTGTAATATACTTTCTGTTATTAAACACATTGCTGTTAACACTTATTTTAACGATTTCAAATAAATTTTGACCAAATTTATTCGTTATTGAAGAGTTTTTGTAAAATTTTAACACCAAGAATATTTTGCGTTTAATAGAGTTCGTTTCAATTCAATTTCATAATTGGTTTTTACGTCAAGTTGAAACTAATATTTCATACCTTAGTTATTCAACAATATCAAATTCTTTTATCTCAGAAGTATTATTTCGACCTGTGCATTGAAACAAAATATGCACTACAAAATCGTAGATACAGGTTTTCCTCTGGCCTAATGCCTAATTTGACGGAGTTATTTGAAGTCCTCATACATAACATCTTATAGATACACATAAGCAATTAGGATGTGCTGCATCACATACATTTGAATACTGGGATATATTTCTTGAAGCTGTAGAAATTTTGCTCTCAAATGTAAGGGCAGAACGAGAGGGTATTTGGTCTCCGGGACATTTTAAAGGTTTATGGACTGACATGGCATAGACCGTAATTAAAGCCTGTGAACATGTCTACATGTAAATATTTCATAACTAGTACTCTTAATAAAGGTCAGTCAAAGAGTTTGTATAGTCCAATATCAAAGTCAAAATTAGAATTAGAAACGTTTCAAAATATGACATAAAAAACAAACCTCAACTGTAAATCGGGGGAAATAATCTCAGGTCACATAAATCCAGAACTTGTATTCAGACGTGCATTGGTTTTGGCAAACTGCAGAGATGATGTTACAATAATAAATATGCTGTCTTGCCCTGTAGGTCCCTATCCAGTTTCCCTTTTCACGATGACGGCACCATGAGTAAAGCCTCCTCTGCACTTTCTCTACCTTCCTTACCATCACTCACAGCTTACATTAGAGATGGAATGGCATTCGATTACCTTGCAGCTGACATCAAACTATGTATCAATGTTTTACTCTAGCACACACAATAGCAGACTTGTTACACCGCTACGACACAAAAAAACAACTCTATAAAGTCTGCTGAAAGGAAACGCCGCACAAAGACTACAACTTCCATCAAAGTGTATCAGGTCATAAAAGGCAGAAGTATTCCGGACTGGAAGAAATTTCTGTCTGTTAAAGAAAATAAACAGGCTCTCCTTAATTTCTTAACAAACCCTCTATGATTCCACCTTATTGTCAGCTTTGCCTAGCTGGATCGTTTGAAAATCCCCAAATTGCCAAAGCCGTTTCAATCACTATACTGTTAATGACTGTTGTAAATTGTTCAGCACTCAAGAAGAGGCTGATACTCATATGATATTCCATGCTTTATACTTTGACACGAACCTTAGAGAAATGAAATAGAGCGGCAGAATTATCACACGGACTTCTAATGCGGATGTGATTGTTCTGTGCGTACACACTACAAACAGATGATATATACAAGCGAGTTGTGGGTGCAGATGGGGAACATTAGCAGTGTAAAGGACAGGCAAAGAATTTTACCTATTCACCAACTATGTGCCTGCCTGCTGTACATGCTCTTACCGGATGCGACACAACTTCGTCTCTGTTTGGAGTAGGTAAGAAATCAGTCTACAGGATTTTAAAGGACACACACGATGAATTCAGTGGTTTGCAGAACTTCAGGAGTACTGACAAAGACGAAGCCCTTGTATGTGCAAGAAAGTTTGTTGCAAAGCTTTATGATAAAAAAAAATCTTTTAAATCATTCCATCATGATATGAATAAAATGCGTTTCAAGCTTGCCGCCAGTAAAGATATAAGTCTTGTCAGATTGCCTCCCTGTGAAGAGGCAAAGAAACAGAATGATATACGTGCTTTATTTTTTAACTAAAACTTGGACAGCATCTCACATTGCTAAACCCCCTGTTAGGTAACCTTTAGAGTACGGATGACGAGAGGTAAGTAATACATTACACCCCGTGTATTGTAAAGGGCAAATGTCAGCCGAGTTTTTACAAGATCTTGTGTGTTCATGTAAGGGGAAATCTCCATGTAAAAAGTCATGTTTTTGTTCCTGTCAGAGTTCATATTTATGCAGAAATTCCCAATCATATTCCTTGACAGATGAAACAAAAGAAACTTGGTTGAATTCTGTTGTTTTGACCTTTTCGAGGATATTGGCTTGATTGTAACTGTTTGCGAGGTATTTAATGGTGTTTTTTTTATGAATTACATGCAAGAGCTTAACTTGCAAAATACACGTTCAAGGTAATAGGCTTCAAGTGAAAACAATATTTATCATTTATTGCAGAGGTTGAATGTCACCAGGCAAGGTAACCAATGTGACTTTAACAAAATTTGTGTTGATCTTTGATGATAGAACAAGTGTGTGAAAAACGTCAATTTTCATGAAAATAGATGTTTTGAGAGTATATTTTTACGTTTTCGGGGTAAATCATTATTAATTGATTTTAAACGATGTCTGTATCTGAAATTTGACATAAATTGCTACATATATCTTTATATTTTGAAAATATAGACGAAAAAAGGAACATAGTATTTGATCTTTGACCTTATATATGCAAAACTGTTACCACATTTCTTTTTGACAACACTGATATTTCGAAAGTACTTATTTTGACAAATCCAATGATATACAGTATAGCCATATAGTATGTTTGACGATTAAATCTAAAAATTATTGAGTCTGGTCACCGTACTAAAAGGTTGTGTGGAATTTTCTTATATTTTAAAATTTTTTTTTTTTTTTTTTATCTTAAAACAAAATTTTATTAATATATTTACATTTGTTATTAGATACATCAAATACCGGTACCTTATCCCTGCCTTGTTAACATTAGCATAGAACATATATTATGGTTAGTTGTGTTAGTACTCAAATTTTCATTAATCTGGATATAATTCTATGTCTTCACCTGAATGATTTTTTTTTTAATTTTAATACTTGTCACTACTTGTACTATACATGTTTTTCTCATATACATGCATGTCATTTGGTCTCTGATGAATTATCTTAATAGGTCTTGTTATTTTTATATAACTATATTAAAAAAAGGACAAAAAAATTAACTGTGACAGTATTCACAACTCATACTAAATATACCATACAATTCACAAATAAATGTCACATTAATTATTAATTGTGAAAAAAGACTGTTGGCAGCATGCATTTGTCAATCAAGTATTTCTGTTTGTAGTAAAATCTTTGGATTAATAAATTCACACATTTAATTTTGAATTAATATTGAACACTAAATTATAGGTCAATAGATGAAAACACAATTATTAATACATTTGTTTATTTTCCATTTCTCTTATCTTTCACAGGTAAAATGATATTTAAAACCCCTGACATCCAAAATGATGTGTTACGAATGAACTTGGCTCCTGTCCGATATGTTGACGATTCTGGAAATCCAACCATTGTTTATCCTTTCAATCCTAACGGATCACCAGATGGAATTGCTGCTCTCTGTTCAGAGGATGGTCGTCACTTAGCCATTATGCCTCACCCTGAAAGGTGTTTCTTGCCATGGCAGTGCCCTTGGATGCCCTTTGGAATGAAGGAGAAATTAGATGTGTCTCCATGGTATAAAATGTTCCAGAATGCTTTTGACTGGTGTGTTGAACAAGTTTAATATATATGGTTGTGTTAAATGTAGATTTTTATGAGCATTTTTATCTGAATGAATTATTGAAAATCTTATTGTTGATAAAGTGTTAATTGCATGGTTGACTGAATCTCATTATAAAGTTATTGGTCTGAATGATCAGTGCACAGTAAACTCCACCATTATACGTATCACTGATACACGAAAATAGTTTTGGTGAAATATTAAATATAATATTGAGCGACATCAAAGTTCAAAGTTGAATTTATATGATTAAAGAAAGCACAAAGCATACCATATGTTTCTGGACTTTAACTCTTGTATTTTTGTTTTGTTTTACAAAAACAATAAAAATTACAAATTGTTATGAAATAGTTTAAGACAAATTTACAATATCAAGTAAGTCCCTGTGTAATAGAAGCACGATACAGCATGTTTTTATTTGATGTAGTATTGAAATTTTCACCAAATATATTTTCCTGAAAATGTGGGAGAGACATAACATAGCATTTTTAAAAAAGGAGTTTGTATTATAAAAATCAATGAAATCCTCAGAAAGTTGTTTCATATACTTCAAATTAGTTATTGTAAAAAAAGTAATAGATTATCTTCATGTAAATTAGTCAGAAAATAATTTAAAATCAACAACATGAAGTTAATTTGAACAAATATTTTATTGACATGAAATTATTCTTTACAAAAAAAACAAAAAAAAGACAAATGATGAAGGTTATTTCTGACAAAGCAACTGACTAATATATAACGTTTGAATGTTTTTCAGATAGTATAGTTCTCCTTCACCCCTAATCAGAACTTTCCCAAAATATTCACCAAACAATGCCATTTAACACCACATAGTTTGTTCTGTTTTCTTTAGATAATCATGGAATGTGCCTTTGTATATCTTGTTTGTGTGTGGGTACCTATTTTGTATCTGTTACTCCTCATTAACCCCTTATTAGAAACTTTCTCTTGGGGCTTTGTTCAGCTTTCTTATTATGGTTGCAGCAATGGAGGATTTAGGAAACAAAAGGCTTGCTATCTGTCCATACATTTTTTTCTTAAATAATCCTTATTAGAAAAAAATGTATTGGTCCAAAGGTGATATGTCATGGATATATAATACAATGATCTCAAAAAATGGATCTCAATTTATTTTTCTGCCTTGATGAAATGGATAAATTACATTGAAATCATTTAGATTGGTATTTAGTTTATTGTTTAAAATAACTATTATGAGGTATTAATTCTACCTTTGTGCCATTTATAAAATGTATCTAGTTTATTGTTAGAAATTTTGCTAGTGTTTTACTCTATATCCTTTTCACCATTGTGCCTTCTCTAAGTGGAACATCAGGGTTTTTCTTTAAAAAAAACATTATCACAAGTGAGTTATTTATAAAGATAGTTCCTCAATTCTTTAAACATGGAATACCATTATTAGAAAGGCAAGTACAGACACAATTTATTCTGTAATATACAGCCACTATGAAATATACAGCCTCTACTAACATCAGTGATGAAACTTTTCCATATTACTAACATTCTAATATATTATATTTAAACAATGTCATATTATTTACTGTAATTCATGTACAGGTTTAAAGGCATGATATATATAACTCTAAATAGAGCAATTGAGATAAAAAATAGTCTTAGCAAATCAAGGCAAATTATATATAATAATGTGGTCATTAATACATTTGAGATTCGTTTTGTTCTAGGGTATATTTTCGATAATTATTTTATTAAACTTATAAAATTTAAAATTATGTTGTATTTTTTATTATTTAGCATATCTTATGTATTTGACATAGTTGATGAAGGAACCAGACTAAGTGTAAACATTTTCACATCGATTTTTTTTCTGACATCTGTTGTTGGTTTTAAATCTTTTGACTGCATAATCAGAAAATTGGTATGCCAAATTGAAACCTATGAGTTTATGTTCATTTTTATGTTACATGGCCTTGTTTGTCATCATTTTGCGTCCTTTGTCGTTGTTTGTTGTCCATCTGTCATTATAAACGCTTTAAAAAATCTTCTGGGCCAAATATTACAAAACTTTACCTCATTTTTCCTTACGGTATCAAGCTGTTGCTAAAAAAGAACCTTTGGGTAAAATGTAGATTTTGACTTATATCTCAATAACTAAAGTAGTTACAAAACATCTGACGTTGTACAAATGATCAGCAGGTCAAGGTTTGCCACCTTCGAACAGGACAACCCTTTAAGGAGTTATTGCCGAAATTGTCAATTGACTGCTTTAAGGAGTTAAGGCCCTTGAAAGATGATTTTTTTTTCATTTTGTGTATTAATCTATATAGGTAGGGAGAAATTGTAAATAGCAAAGCTATTAAATACAATAAGATCTACAAATAAGTCAACATGGCCGAAATTGTCAACTAACTCCTTATAGGAGTTATTGCTATGGAAGATGATTTTCTTTTCATTTACAAATCTCTGAAGGAGATAGTAAGAGGCCGTAAAGTGAAACTGCAGCACAATAAGATCTACAAATCTCACGCCATTACCCAAACTGTTAACCGACTCCTTATAGAAGCTATTTACCTTGAATGATAACGTTTGTCCATTTTTTGCATTTTTGTGAAAACTGTAAAAAGTAAAATAATAAAAATACCGAACTCCAAGGAAAATTCAAAAGGGAAAGTCACTTATCAAATGGCAAAATCAAAAGCTCAAACACATCAAACGAATGGAAAACAACTGTCATATTCTTGACTTGGTGCAGGCATTTCCTTATGTAGAAATGGTGGTATGAACCTGGTTTTATAGCTTGTTAAACCTCTCACTTGTATGACAGTCGCATACAATTCTATGAGAGAGAAACGTTAACAAAAACTCTAAACATCTCTACTAGACCTACACAAATGCCACTAAAAGATATTTACAAATAGGGAAGCATAACTGGTTGCAATAAAGAATAAAATCAAAATGGCATATTGTATTATCAGTTTAGCGATTCAAGCTCTTGGGAGCCTCTTGTATGGTGAATAAAATTTAATGGAATTGTTCGATTAACGTCAATTAGACACCAGCCTACGATACAAGTGTACTTTCCTGTATCACTGGTATGAATTTCCATTAAAAAAAACCTAAGCATGGACTCAAAGAGGAGCGAGACTGGGTACATCGACAGGGTAATCGTATCCTATCCATGCCTACCTACCATTCGAAAACAAACTCAATCAAATGTTCAGTCGGACATATGACATAACCAGTAATTTTACAATCAGACAATTTTGGTATCATACTATTTAAGACCACGAAAACATGTTGCTAGTGAGTAACTGTGAGACAGAGACCCATCGTATCGTCAATCAATTCCCGATTCAGTGCATTAAACTTGCATGGTGTCAATTTCAGTTGGTTTTCCTCATCTCATTTGTACATCGATTTTAAACTAAAAGGGTGATTTTGATGTGAACAGGTATTACGAATAAACAATGAATTAACCAGTCTGGTCTTTTAGTTAATTTTCCGCTTATCCACTGCAGTAAGTTCAGCACAGTTCAGACAAATAACTTGCAGTCAATTAAGATCTGTTAAGTCTAATTTAAGATTGTTCTGTAGTTGTTACTTACCCGTACAAATACAGTTATGAATTTTCTGAAACTCTACTGAACAGTAATGAATTTATAATAAGAAAGTATCTTAGCGTAGCAATAACTTAAAATATTATCAAGACTTAACGTTTTTAAGCTAACCACGTTATGATCAAAATGGCTGTTTAAGACAACATCCATTTACTAGTGCCTGTTTATGTGTGTGTCACATCCTTATTAATAATGTGGGTATTGTGTGAACAAGAACGAGTGATACATTATTAGTTTAGATATGTTAACCCCATACGATGAAGTAGGTGGAAGGGTACTGCAGAGAATTAGAAAGTGGACATCGTAACGTTTGTAAAAGATTTGTAAAACTAAGTCGATATTGAGTAAAAATTTAAAATTAAGACATGAAGCAGTCCCTCAAGTTTCGGTAGCAACCTTAATAAAATTGAGAATGGAATATCTAGATCACTGGGATAAAGGAGATGCAAGCACTCACTGAAATGTTGATAAATTAGCACTCAGTGTTTATGAAAACCTTTTAAAATAATACTTGGTCACAGATATTTCCTTAATATATAACGCACATGCTTGGACAATTGGATTGAATGATGCACAAACAAACTAACACCAAAAAACCTCTGATATTTTTCAAATTGTATCTATTGAAAACTTCACAGTTTATACAAAGAAACAGTAAATTATAAGAACAGGCATAAATAAATATTCTTATATATAAACATTAAGAATATGTTATTAACTATAACCCAGAACCTGTTTCCCTTGAGTGTTTTATAAAGAAAACAAACATTTGTATATAGGATCAGCTCACAAAGAGGCGCAGGAAATTTTTATTTTTAATAAAGTAACCAAACGTAATGTCAATATGTTACACATAAGCCGCTGCAATTCTACAGTCCATCACACAATCTACAACGATAAAAGATACATATTAACTTATATTCTGATATTTTACAACACAATTTACATTCATTTCAAGATTGGTGGGACGGTAATTCTTCTTAACGAACTTTGCTGCACGAATGTAGATCTTCGAATAACCAATATAAATAAAATGTTTCGCGCGAAATTAAATTTCGTGCTACCATTATAACACTATTCTATTATAATGAAAATACTGCATTGCTGCCTTAATTCATCCGATCGACAAACAAAGATATGTTATATTGTCCTTACATCAGCCAATCACATCAACATCTTAATATACACACCCACGTTTTATTACATGTAGTAAATAAAAAGCACGTGTTCGGCTACCTTTAATAAATTCATATATTTACCTTGGATAAAGTATTTTTAAAATAATTTTGTGCTTTTTATTTTTGTAACTCAAACAAAAATGATGATACAGTAATGCCTCAACCGAATAATTGATGATTATTTGTATTTTAAGATAGGATCTGCAGCTGCTAAAAGAGAACAAATATACAATCGCTTGATATACCCATCATTTGATGCAAGGATTTCTGTCGTGGAACGTCTCATTAACTTTTGTTTTAGCATGTAAAACATATCTGTGGATAAGCCATTACCATAATTTCCGTAAAACAAACAAATCATATAAAACAGCTTTTCAAAAGCCTTGATGAATGAAACATATTTGGCAGATATTTCAATAAGTGAATATGTTTCTCTTATTTTGTTTAAATTTGGTAACTATCAACTCGTCATAATACCAGGAAAAAAAATTGAACGCCACACGCGCGTTCGAATCAAAAGCCAATTAAAGTACGAAGTTGAATAGCATTGAGGTTAAACATGTTTTTTTAGCGATCAACCCTCCCCTTAGCCTGGGACAGTAGTGTAACCGCACATTTACTTATTTTGCTGCATAATACACATCTTTGTTTTACCTTCAAATCATAATTCATAAGTTGTCATTACATAAACAAATATTATTATGTTAATTATTATTATCCGGAATTCATTTTAGAAAGACTTAAACCTGATTTAAGGAGGTGTTTTTGGCATTGAGCGATGCCCATGTTAGAGTATTATGTTTATTATCAGTGGACAGTAAGTGTTACTTACCTAACAATGTAAAGTTAATCTGACACATTGAGATATGCCCATGATAAGGGTTTTATGTTGACTATCAATAGACAGTAAGTGTTACTTACCTAACAATGTAAAGTTAATCTGACACATTGAGAGATGCCCATGATAAGGGTTTTATGTTGACTATCAATAGACAGTAAGTGTTACTTGCCTAAGACATGTAAAGTTAATCTGACACATTGAGAGATGCCCATTATAAGGGTTTTATGTTGACTATCAATAGACAGTAAGTGTTACTTGCCTAACACATGTAAAGTTAATCTGACACATTGAGAGATGCCCATGATAAGGGTTTTATGTTGACTATCAATAGACAGTAAGTGTTACTTGCCTAACACATGTAAAGTTAATCTGACACATTGAGAGGTGCCCATGCTAAGGGTTTTATGTTGACTATCAATAGAAAGTAAGTGATACTTGCCTAACACATGTAAAGTTAATCTGACACATTGAGAGATGCCCATGATAAGGGTTTTATGTTGACTATCAATAGACAGTAAGTGTTACTTACCTAACAATGTAAAGTTAATCTGACACATTGAGAGATGCCCATGATAAGGGTTTTATGTTGACTATCAATAGACAGTAAGTGTTACTTACCTAACAATGTAAAGTTAATCTGACACATTGAGAGATGCCCATGATAAGGGTTTTATGTTGACTATCAATAGACAGTAAGTGTTACTTGCCTAACACATGTAAAGCTAATCTGACACATTGAGAGATGCCCATGATAAGGGTTTTATGTTGACTATCAATAGACAGTAAGTGTTACTTGCCTAACACATGTAAAGTTAATCTGACACATTGAGAGATGCCCATGATAAGGGTTTTATGTTGACTATCAATAGACAGTAAGTGTTACTTGCCAAAATCATGTGAAGTTAATCTGACACAATGATAGTTGCCCTTGCTAGTTATACGTTTACCATCAGTGGCTAGTAAACGTGAAAACCTACAAGGTGAAGTGAATCTGACATTGGGAGATGCACATAAAAGAGTATAACTTTTACCACCTTCACCAACTAAGTAAAGAGAACCTGACACTGAAGTGATGTAAACAAACTTTATTTAATTTCTGTGGATACTTCTTCACATTAAGCTCTTTCGTACCGATTTCATGGTTACTTAATTTCGTAATGTATGCAATCATACTATGGTCAAATATAATAGGAACAAAATCCGTCTTGATTTTAAGGTTAGTTCGTCTAAGGTTAAGGTAATTTTTGCTGCTAAAATATAATGTATGCAGAAAAAAATTTAATAACAAAAATACCAACTCCAAGGAAAATTCAAAACGGAAAGTCCTTTATCAAATGGCAAAATCAAAAGCTCAAACACATCAAACAAATGAAAAACAACTGTCCTATCCCTGACCTGGTACAGGCATTTCCTTATGTAGAAAATGGAGGATTAAACATGGTTTTATAGCTAGCTAAATCTCTCATTTGTATGACAGTCGCATATAATTCCATAATATTGACAACAATGTGTGAGCAGAACAAACAGACGTAATAGGTAAAATTGTCAAAAAAATGTAGTACAGCAGTCAACATTGTGTTGTAATCTTAATCAATATATAAACTTTTTCAACAAAAAAAAAACCAAAATTGCTTATGCGGGATGTTTGGATAGCCATAAAACCAGGTTCAACCCACCATTTTTTCATAAAATGTCCTGTACCAAGTCAGGAATATGGCAGTTGTTATCAAATAGTCCGTTTCGATGTATGTTGGCGTTTGTTTTTGTAGCAGTTCGGTGTTTCTGTTGTTCCGTTGTTTTCCTCGGGTTTGGTGTGTGACCCGGATGACTATTGAACAGCGGTATACTACTGTTGCCTTTATTTATAGACAATCTATAGATAAAGTACATACGCAAAAATGAAAGACAAGATTACATAATTGATCGTAGCTCAATAACACAATGGCGGGATGTATAAATAACGAGCCACGCCAAACGTATAGAAAGTGGTTTCCGGAATCTCAATCAAATACTACATGTGCAAAAAGGTTTGCAAACATACTATGATATGGTCAAATATAATAGGAGGAAAATCCCTTTTGATTTTAAAGTTTTTACGTCTAAAGTTAAGGTCATTTTTACTAAAAATAGACTAACATTTATGCAGAATGTGGTATCCGGATTCCGAATAACTTACTTTATATGAGTTTGTAGCCTTACTTTTATAAATGGTTTCGGATGGGTCAATATCCTTAATGCGTCTCAAACTGAGGTCTCAAAAATAGTTTGAAACATATTATGATATTTTTGTCTTAAATACATGATTTTTTTATTAGTTGTATTTTGCTTTTAACTAGCTGTCAGTAATTGCGAGTACTCTCAGATCTGTACTTAGTGTCTTTTTGTTGTGGGGATGTATAAGTAGCCATCCACGTCCACTCTGTGTTTTTGTTAGATGTATTTCTATTCGCGTCCATCTGATGAGTTAAGCCTTTTTCAACTAATTTTTATAGTTTGTTCTTATGTTGTACTGTTACACCACTGTCCCAGGTTAGGGGGACGGTTGAGCGCTCACAAACAGGTTTAAACCCGCCACATTCTTTATGTGCCTATCCAAAGTCAGGAGCCTGCTGTAGTTCAGTGGTTGTCGTTGGATCATGTCTGTCATATTTGTTTTTCGTAAATTGTTTTGTTATAAATTAGGCCGTTAGTTTTCTCAACTGAATTGTTTCATATTTTTCATGTCGGGGCCTTTTATAGCCGACCATACAGTATGGGTTTTTCTCATTGTTGAAGGCCGTATGGTTGCCTATAGTTGCTTACATCCACTTCATTTGAACTTTGGTGGATAGTTGTCTCATTGGCAATCATACCACATCTTCTTATTTTTATATAAACATGACTTTTTGTTACAATTTTTAGCAATTGATTGAATAAAGGTGTAAAACTATGGAAATATTAAATGTATGAAAAGAACTTAATTTTAAAGACCTTATTGTGTGAAAAAGTGTTTTTTTCACCTCGAGAAGCCGCATCACAATGGGCTTTTCTGATATGCTAAATTACGGAAAAATAAATCTCCATCGTACCTCAAAGATTTTACTATTGTAACAATGACACATTGTGAAACTAAACTTGAGTCTATTTTACATGAAGCTCGATACTTGGAAGGGTTGTTTGCCATAATGTGTCATTGACTATATTGTACCGCCATTTTGATTAAATAAAGTTTACAGAAGTTATGGGACTATGACTATTTTATTTAGTATTGTGACAATGACACCTTGTGAATGCAACTCTTCTGAGATCCTTTCACAACAAAAATAACATACTTGGTTGGATTATTTGCCAGCACGTGTAATTGACCATTTGTTACAGACATTTTGATCCAACTTTTGTCAAGGAAATTATTGGATTTTGATTATTTTTTGGGGTTTTGTGAGAATAATACCCTGTGAACGTAATAACGCTGAGATCATTTGTCAGAACGCTCTCATTTGTTATCATCGTGTGTTATTGACCATATTACACCGTCATTTTAATCACAACCGTTTTACGGGAGTTACTGGACTTGACAATTTTTAGTGTATTTTGACAATAACACCTTGCAAACACATGTCCATTGAGACCAATTTTACAGGAAGGTGTCATACTTGGTACTATTATTTGCCATCGTGTGTAGTTGACTATATTGTGTCATATTGATCACATTCGTTTTACATAAGTTGTTGGACTTATTAGAGAAAATCCTTAGATTATTATGACAATGATACCTTTTGAACGCAACTCCTCTGACAACCGTTTTACAGAAATCTCTCATATTTGGTAGGATTGTTTGCCATCATATGTAGTTAATCATAATATACCGTCGTCTAGATCCCAACATTTGACGGGATTAATGGGACTTTGACAAGTTGTAGAGTAAATTTGTTGTAATAGTGTCAGCATGTGAATACAAATCCAATGGGACAATTTGAGAGAAAGCTCTTGGAGTTGAAGTTTTTTTGCCATCATATGTAGTTGACCATATTATACTGTCATGCTGATCTAATCATTTCAATGGGAGTTGTGGGAGTTTTACTATATTTTTACTATACTATATATTACAATGATACTGTTACACTCAAATTAAATCCTCCTTTATACAGAGGAGGGGGAGATTTCGCCAGGTCGTACCATTCTTGTTTAATTTTTTCCTCATTTTGAATGTGCATGAAATATTATCCACTTGCCAATAAGGAAAAAACATCAATCAATAATTTGTTTTCAGGTAGACAGATGTGTTACTGGACTAGTTGCCCAGCAGCAGAATGTTGGACCACTACACACACCACTGGCTGATGTAGCAGTAACAGCACTGTCTTATTTTGATAAAGTAATTTTAATATGTCAGAACAATTCAGTTTTCTCTGAAAGATAGGCAAAAGAGTAATTAAATGATTTAAAGGAGATGTTAGGTTAAATAAGACAAATACTTATCTATGCACACATAGTCTTTCTATCTTGTTAAATTCTGATTATGCATGAAATCAACTGGGAATCAACAATCAATCCACCACATGTTTTGTTTATGTCAGATTAAGGGGTGACCTCTAATGGTTAGTCAATGATATTTCGTATGCAGTTGTATAAACATTAGCACATTGATCAAGGAAAGCAAACATACTATTATTAAATCCTTTGTGTTTCTAGTATCAAGTTGTGTTTGTGAAGTAGGTACGGCTTCAGACTAAATACAATTTTGTATATCGCTGTAAAGTTTGTTGCCCAGAATGATGGTCTGTTCATTGTCTTGTGAGGCTAATTGATCTAGGTGGGTATGAACCCCGTAATGCATGTAAAATTAATTTAGGGTAAATGTGAGATTGATAGTTTATATACATTAAAATACTTTGTAAACAAATATTTTTCTTATTATAACATTTTATTGGACAAATGATAGAAAAAAAAACAGTACTACATATCATTTATAGGTAGTAATTGATTGGATACAAAACTTTAAAAAACAAACTGCTAATCAACTTATACTTTTATCGGATCAAAAATATTTTTAAATACTGAGTTATTTTAATGCTGGTCATAATTCCAAAAAATAAGAAATTCTTTTTCATGTGTTTTCAATAATCTAATAATATAAATACTTATCACACATTAATAAAAAAAAAAAGCAAAATACAAAAACGAAAATAATATATACGAATAAAATTAAATTTGTACAATACTGGTCAGTTGATAAAGACAGATATTTACACTTATCATATAAGAATCGTGTCATTCTTAGTTGGACGTATTAAGTTAATATTACAATTAAAATAATTATGGCGAAATAACTGTAGGTGATAATGTTTATTAATTTTGCTAGGATTTAACACATTAACCCATAGATACATCTAAATACCTAGCTGGATTTTTATGTACATATGAGCGTAAAAGCTGGGGAAGTAGTCTCAGTTTGTTGAGGTATAATGATGAAAGATATTTTCTTTTTATTTATTCATCATGAAGAGCAAAAGAAAAGAAAAGATTATAGACATTGTGTTAATATTCACAGATGTGAAGAGATAGCAAACTAAACAATACAAAAAAGACATCTACTGTTTTACATTACAATTTTATAGAAATACATCTCAGTTTACACACATAATTCTACTGACAAATTGATTTAAAACGAAATATAATATTTCCCTTGGCTATATTGAATAAACATTAACTTGTCAAGTCTTAGTATATTGGAAATGTATTTATATCTTTGCAACTTACAAATCATTATTACCATTTCATACATCATATTTCAGATTGATGGAATTTCAAAAAAGCCTGAAGCTAAACTTTTACCACATAATAATGTTTATGGGTAGGATCTATGACTGCTATAGGAGAACAACCAATCAAAAGCTTGATAGATCCAGCATGTATGGCAAGGATGTCTGTCGGGGAAGCCCTCACTAACTTGGTGTTTGTCCATATTACACATAGTTAATGTTTATGATTTTATAAGTAGGATCTGTGACTGCTACAGGAGAACAACCAATCAAAGGCTTGATAGATCCAACATGTATGTCAAGGATGTCTGTCGGTGAAGCTCTCACTAACTTGATGTTTGCCTGTATAACAGATCTGAAGGTCAGGCCAACACCTAATGACTTAGATTATATTTATTCTTAGCTCATCTTGCCCTTTGGCCTCTGTGGTTTTCATCCATGGTTTTGTTTTCATTGCTCATTGTTCGTTGTTCGTTAACTTAAAATTATTTTTTTCAATTATTCTTTCCATTAACATCAAAACTGTCAGACAACTTCTTATTGGAGTTATTCTTACCTCTTTCTTTGTGTTTTTGGGCAAAAACTAAAGTAGAAAGAGGGAAACTGTAAACAAAAATAATGATCAGCGATACAAGATCAACAAAAGAGATTTTTGTCATGAATTATACAATAGTCTGTAATGGTGGAAAGTGTTCATTGTTGAAGATGGACATAGACCTTGGTGATCATTAGCAACACAGGCTCTTTAATAATATTTATTTTTATTATTTAATAATATTTTTGAGTTAGAAATATTGAGCACATGCAAGTACCATATAAATATTTACATGAAAGGTGTTCAAAATTGATGGCATATTACATGGTTGGAACTTGCAGGTACACAAAATTTGCAGTGCCTAAAAACTGAAATCTATGCAACTTTAAGAATATTGCTTTGAACAGTAACTTTAGTAGAACACATTGGTATGTATTATGATGTCAGCAGGTAACGTTTTTTCTTATTTGGTATCAACTCTTCCTATAAAATAAGCACAAATTGAAATCTTGTCATTAAAATTGAAATTTCAATGAAATATTCAGCAGAAAAACGACCCTTATCCCACCTTATCTTTTAACATCAATCAGCATAATAGATCTTATAATCCTAATGTTTCATTGTCATATAATGTGAATCAGTTAAGCTAACACTGCCTACTAGCATCCTATAACACACTTTTGAATTATTTAAAAAAAAGTGCAAATCTTATAGTTATCCCCAATTAATGGTCGACACCAAAATATATAAAATATGTACAAAAAAGCTACAGATGTCATTCAATTTCAAGTGCTTGAAACAAACATTATCACTTTCTGAATGATACAAGAAACAGTGAAGATATATCTATCACTAAGTTTGACAGATAATGTATGTATAAGACATAAAGTAATAACTTATTTAGTTATATTTCATTGTAGACTGTAACATGTTTATTTTGTACGGTCAATAGTTTCCTTTGTGTGAGATTATAATGTATCCCATTACACATTAGAGTGGATTGAAGTGTCTTCACTGGTTTATAATGTTTACCATCAGTTGACACATGTTGTACTGATTCATCACAACACATCGCATACAGGCTGCCATCTAGTAGTGTAGTCATACTCCTGGGTGGTGATGGTAATGTTAGGGTGTGGTGTCTGTCATCAGTATAACTGTACCAGTACAGCTTATTGTTGTTGTAGTAGTTATCACAGTAGAATATTCTGTCACCAGAACCATGTAACCTCCAAGGATGACATTCAGTCTTTATTGTCTGTATCACCTCTCCTGTCTGGTGATTTATGACCTGTAGTCTGTTGTCAACACGTACAATTAACTTTTTATTTAAAGTTGTTATGTCACTCTTATACTGCAACATTCCAGGTATTAATATTGTTTGAAGTTTGAGTTTATTGTTTATGTCATACATCTCTATACACTTACTATCATACAGTGTAACAGCTACTGTAGAGTTGCTGACTGCTGTAACATACCAAGGTCTGCCTTGTATAGGTAAACTGTCTAACTGTGATCCATCTGTATTATAGATCAATAGTCTGCACTGAATAGGTAAACATATCACCAGTCTACCGTCATCCATCATCACTGCATCTAATATGCCACTTTCAACTACTAATGACAGGTTTGTCTGGTGATGAAATGTGAAGATAGACTGTCCTAGTTTGTAGGGCTGTATTAGATGTTGCTGTTTAATCCCTGAAATATACAATAAAATATAAAACAATTTCAGATCAAAAGGAATTTTGAGTAGCTTAGCTTCTTTTATTCCATGCATCAAAAGGGTGGTAATGAAGTGACAAAAAATATTTGTATCACGAATTGTTATTGATATAAATATTTCAAATGAACTATTTTAACTCAAGTTAACTAGACTTGAAGTAGTAATTTTATTTTGACATAAGACATGATGGTTTCTTTACTTGTAAATCCAATGGTTATGTTACTTTAAATATTGAAATGATTCAGAATGACAAGGGAGAGAAATTTTAATATGCTTTTTGAACCTACCGTGTCTGTCAGTTTTCTCTTTGGATGATTGACATCTTACATATTGTAATATCTCCTGTAATAGTCAGGGATAAAAGTTTATAATTTTTAAAATACATGTGTATATATATAAAATAAAAATATTCATTTCTTTGACACAGATCTATTTGTGGATGATTTTTTTTATCTTGGTAAGACATGACAGTTTATGACTTCTTTAGTCCTGTGAGCACATCTTTTACTATAAGGGATGTATACATTTTCATGTCTGTCCTTGCTCAGATGATCATTCTTTGAGTTTCTGGATTTTAATGAAAGTAACTATAGATTTTTGTTTAAGTTAATGAAAATGTTTTGTACATGGAATTTCTAGTCAGCTTGTTAAGTAAGGTTTCTGAAGATATGCATTAATTATGGAGAGTTAAAACATTTTATTGTAAAAAAAAAATTCCTAGATTTTTTTTCTCAACATGACTAGTGCATTCTGATATCTTTATTATTTGATGTCTATATATTGGTAACCTGTAGCATTTTTGCTGTGTCTCATTAGCATGTTGCTTTTCTATTGTTGTTTTTAAAATAAATTAAACATAAACAATCAAAGATCTGCCATCAACACCAAATCATCCAAATAATAAAAGACATAAAGATATGACTAACAACCACAATTGACATGATTGGTGAGTTCTTACTTGTGACAGGCAAACGAAGATATCATCAGTGTTTGTTCTTACCTCAAGTTTTGTAATTAGCTCCACTTTTAATTGGTCATTGTTGATATTCATTGCAGTCAAAATTTCATCAGTGCTTGATTCCAATTTGTCACTAATCTAAAATTATGAATAAATTAAATTATGTACTAAAAAGGTATAACAAAATTACTGAACTCCAAGGCAAACATAAATTGTTTCCAGTTTGTAATTTGAGTTACCCTTGCTTGGTTAGAATGAAAAGGGAGAAGGTTATTGATTTTGGGGCCAATAGGGTAAAGGTCCTTTGGTCAGGCAGGGCATCATCTGTGTCTTACAGACAGCGTATGCCAACATCACTGTTTGTCAAATCTAAAATATGTGGAACTATACTCATGCATATGGCAGAGAAGAAAAGGGGGGGGGGGGGGGGGGAGGGCATTGTCCATATCTAGTTTAATGTCTGTTTTTCAAGTACGTTAAGCAATAGGTCAACTATATTTGGTGTATGGAATGATTGTAAGGTGTACATGTCCGTCTGCTAGGTACAATCTGACATTGACCTCATTTTCATGGTTCATTGGTCAATGTTAAATTTTTGTGTTTTTGAATTACCATAAGCAATAGATCAACTATATTTTGTGTATAAATAAATTATAAGGTGTATATATCTGTCTGAAACAATTGATCTTACCTTATCCTCATTGTTTTAAATCCTTAAAAAGTTAAAATTTGTGTGGTGCTTTTAGTAAAATCTTTATCTTTAAGACTTTCAACCTTAAATCAATGGTTAGTAAAGCAGGCGAGACATTTCAGAGTGTGCACTCTTGTTTTCACAGTTAACTTTCAGATTAAGTCTGAGGTTAAATTTTTTTTAGACATCAATAACTTGACAAACCTTCATGGAAATTTATGAAATTTGGACAGAAGCTTGTTTATGACCAAAAAAACAGGATCCAAAGCAAAATTTTAAAAATATTTATTTTTGTTTTTTCAATATTTTACTGATAAATGGACTCAGTTATTTTTTACAGCTAACAAATAGGTTTAAGTTTGTTACAAATCAATAACTTTGTCAAACCTTCAAAGAGTTTAAGAAAATTTGTCAAAAGCTTTTTAAGGATTAAGAGACATTGTCTGAAGCAAACCTTTGAAAATATATTTTTTTCATTTTTAGTATAGACTTTGTTATTACAGTTAACATTTACAGACAGTCTGGGATTAAATTTTTTGACATGAAAATCTGGTAAGCATTCATAGATTGTTATGAAACTTGGACAGCTAATCTTCAATTCTTCGTGAATTGCTGTGAGATTGCAGACAAATCATTTTTTTTTATTTTGAAGCAAAAAATGACCAAAAACAAAGAATTTTTAAGTGGCATTTTTAAGCAAACACCGATATACATTAAAAAGTCGAAATATGAATCATGAGTGATGAATGAATTGAGAAAAAAAATCAAGGTGAGCGATTCAGGCTCTTGAGAGCCTCTTGTTTGTAAAGAACATCTTGTGAATGGAACTACTGTAAGACCATTTGACACAGTCGGAAAACTGACCCCGGTTTGACCACATTTCTTAAAGCAACAATGGAAGTCATGTGACTACCATATTTGGGCATTTTTTGGGTAATTTTTTCTTCATCTGAAACGAGTCTGTTTCCCCCAAAAAGTCATATCAAATGAAATCAAAGCATACTGTACGTTACAAATGCCAATTGTATATACTTTTAAGAAGTTCTAACATGCAAATTGTTTTGATTAAGCGTACTGAATTAGAATACGAAGCCTTCAAACCCCAGGTTGTCTCTCGTCGCGTCAATTTTTTTCAACACATCAGTTGAAATTTTTGTTTTTTTAAATTCTGGGGAACCTATGCTGAATTTAAAATATGTGATGAGGCTTTTTATGAACTGGGATGTGTCAAATTTGTGCCACTTAATACGCTGTAATACGCAAATGTGCCACTTCGATGTGTCGAAATTTCTTACGAAGCGGTTCCGATAGTAATTTACGAGTTACGTTCCTTTGTTGACACTTTTCATGAACACACTTATTTGTACTATTATATATAGTTAGCACCATATTATATGTTATTCAGGTCTCAGACAGGGTATATACTGTGACATTCCCGGCTTAGACTTTATATCCCTTGAGCCGAAGGCGAAGGGGATATCAGCCCAAAGCCGGGAATGTCACAGTATATACCCTGTCTGAGACCTGAATTACACATATATTACGGATTACCCTTGTCTTAATGTTTTTTCCATTGCCAGGTATTTGTTAAACATTCACAATGCAGCATGTATATTCATTGTGGGTCTCATTGGGGTCTAAGCGTGACGCGGGATTGCCGATTTTTTGTAAGCGTGACACGTGAAAGTCAAATTATTGTGCCGTGAAAACGGGAAATGAAGTCTAGCGGGACACGGGAAATTACAAAAAAATGAGAATTGCTTACATACATAGTGTAAGCGGAATATGGGAATCCTTCAAAACAGTAAGCGGGATCCGGGATCAGAACCCCCCAATGAGACCCCCTTCATTACATGTTTATTGTTTTTAATATTTTGAGTAATCCATTTAAATGAACCTTTTTTGTCTTGACAATTTTTTTTGCGTTTGGAAATGTTTTCAATAAAGATTTTAGATTTCATGTTCGGTGTTTATATGTGTTTTTGGCTTCATTTTTTACAACACATTTATTGAAAAACCCAACCTAATATGTTTCGCATACGTGAAGGATTTTGTAATTTGCCGTGAAAATAATTTTATCGTGTATGTAATAATTTATAATAACACTTTAAAACATTAAATTTTAGTAATTGAAGTGTAAATTGCGTGATTTTGTATTAAAAATGTATTATTGACGGATGCACGTCATTATTTTCCCTCTGTGAGCCTCTGACATCCCTTAGTGTTCTATATAGCTTTTGACTACGTCACATAGTAACAGGTGTTATGATGACGTTTTTGAGGTTCCAATTGGGGATAAAAACGTCGTATATAGACCGGCAGTTTCCTGAATATATACTGACATCTCTGTGTTGTTATCCAATTACAAAAACTCGACACATTTGTAATCCGTAATATTATGTTATTTACAAGTGAATATTATTAAAAAGTAATTATCTTTTTACTAGATATATTTTTATACTACAGACATATGTAAAACAATTAGGTAAATTATATTTTTTCATTTTTAAAACAATTTCAGAACTGAAATAGGGCTTTAATATTACAGTAAATGTTAATCCTTGCTCTGGGCCATATTATATTATTCCAAGAGTTACTTTGATATTTTGGTATATATTTTTACTGCTGTAACCAAATAATACCAACACAGAAATAAATTTCTACTTTATTAAGGTCAGGGCTAGCCAAAATATGCATTTATACTGGTTCTAGACATGGTTAAAATGTTGAATTCCCTTGCAATACTGATACCTGCTTTTTCATATACATTTAAAAAAAATAATAATCAAAGTATTGTCAATGTAAATTCTTCATAATTTGAAATAAAGGGAAATTAGTTTGCAATCTGTGTAGCAATAACGGTCGTTTCTAAGGGCTTGATTTCCGACTGGACAGAAAGCTCTCTATCTTGGTTGTTAATTTCTGTGTCATTTGGTCTCTTTGTGGAGAATTGTCTCATTGGCAATCATACCACATTTTCTGATTTTTATATTGGTGCCATAGTGTGTAGTTGACATCATTTTGATCTATACATGACAGGCGTTATGGGACAATTTTTAAAGGCAGTGCCTTTAGTCGTATCGGGCAATAACCATTTTGTTTCTACGTCGGAGTTATCTCTACGTGGGGGATAAATACGTCATCACAAATTACCCGAAAAGTTGAATTCTTTCTTCTTCTATTACCGATATTCTGTGTTTTTAATTGTAATTCAGTGACAATGGGAAGTAAAGAATCAAACGGTGTTTTTTGTAAGTTTTCAAAACTTTTGATAGAGCTGTATTTTGCATTATGAGCAGCCAACCGTTTCACAAACCATAAGAACTTAAAAATCCGTGTGAAAGAGTTCGGGTGGTATTTTAATCCTTAGTTGTTTTAATATCATTTCAGTCGTAGATGTAATTAAGAAAACTTGACCGAACTATGCCTAGTCGCAAAATGTTAAAAATAACTCTTGAATCTGATTCTTTTTCTCGTCAGAACATTTGGTACGTCGAATTTCCGAAATCCGCCTAAACAAGTAATATCCATCTGTTTTCTTTAGAGCTGTTGAAAATCGTATGACCTTCCAACATAGCTATCATGTCAGACCCTTTGTCAGGTAAACAGTTTTTATCTATTAGGTCCGATAAAGCTTTTAAATCCGAAACGAACAGTACCAGCAATTGACTTCTTGTTTAACAGTTCCTTCAGAAATATCTTGAAGTTATTTTTACAAGTCGACATGTTGCGTTTCGTACAAATGTTAAGACAGATCAATAATGACCTTGTTAAAATGAGTTTATTATAATTCTTATTTGTAAGTAAAATTCATTTTATTTCATTAATCATATAACAAATTGAATGATTACAATATGATTGAATAAGTAAATATTTAATTTTTAGAAATTAGCTCTTAATTCATTGGACACCTTTTCAACAGTTATGTTGTTAATTAACCGAACCATACACGTATGGTCAGACCATATGAGTATATACGCATATGGTCATGACCATACGTGTATGGTCCAAATACTCATATGGTCTGCATCATACCCATCTCACTCTAGAAAATGTATTTCCTGTTTTGACTTGCCATCCAGGCATAATTTGGAATGCTCTAAACCATGATCTTTCAAATAATGTAAATATTTTGGAAGACATGTTCAAGCCTTGTATATAATTTATCTGAAATTGTGTAATTTTATTTAATCCACCAAAATTACATGTCTGTAATTTGGCTTGAACATTAAAGTTGTTATTTGGAAATTTTCCATTTGTTTGATGTGTTTGAGCTTTTGATTTTGCCAATTGTTAAGGAACTTTGTGTTTTAAATTTTCCTTGGAGTTTGGTACATTTTTTATTTTTGTTGTTTTACTTTCTCCTTAAGTAAACCTAAGTAGATGCATAGTAGTACATCCACAGTATGTACAAATATAGGACTTTTCATAATTAAAAGAATTTTTTTTTTATGTCGTGTGCATTTCTCACTAATTATGATCAACTATATTTTGTATATGGGTTCAATAATTTGCAATGTCTACTTGTCCATCAGTGATCAAAGTTTAAGTTACGTGATAAGGTCTGTTTCCAGGGGCCGATCCAGGACTTTTGAAAGAGGGGGGGGGGGGGGTAGAACGTAGAATATAATCTTTTGCCGAGCGGAGCGAGTCGAACATTTTTTTGGACCTTGTTTTGTTTTTAAAATAAGTGTAAAATGCACAAATTTAACGGTTCTTGACGTTGGGCATGTATATTTTATAGTTGAAGGTTGGACATTTTTGATGCCGTATTCTCCCCATAAAATGATTGGATGTATGTAAAGCTATGTACCAATATATTTGATGTTGGATTTGTCAGTAAAAAATGGACATGGAAAATTCTCCCTAGCCAAGTCAGTCACTGAAATAGAGGTCACAACATCTGAAGAATTCATTGTGAATTAGTGATTCGCACTACAGATGCATCTGACGTTTTTTCGACGTACTGGTAGCGAATCACGTGAGTTGGACATACTCAATAATATATTACACGTAAATACGAACGAATAATATCTTTATAAGTAACAAATTGTCGCATAAAAATAAATATACGGGAAATGACAACGTTAACGAAATCTAGTCTGATTAATCATTTACAGTCTTAATTAAAAAAAAAAGTGCAAGTAAAGGAAAGGCGTACGCCCTCTACCCACCCCTCTGGATCTGTCACTGGTTTCTCAGATACGAAAAGCAGTAGGTCAACTATATATGGTGTATTTTTCATTTTCATACATGTAGCTCGTTGGTCAATGTTAAGTTTTTGTGTTTTGGTCTGTTTTTCTGTTTATTGAGTGCTATAAACATTAGGTCAACTATATTTGGCATATGGAATGATTGTAAAGTGTACATGTTCTTCGTGTGAGTATCATTTGAACATGAATTCATTTTCATGGTTCATTGGTCAATGTCAAGTTTTTGTGTTTTGTAGTTCTTTTAGGTACTATAAGCAGTAGGTTACTGCCTTTACAGCGCATTCGCGCTTTGATTTTTAGTATTATGAGAAAACACCTCATGGAGGAAACTCCCCTGAGGCCAATGGACAGATAGCTCTCATTCCTGGTACTATTGTTTGCCATCATGTGTAACTGACTAAACAATACCACCATTACAATTTCACTACTTTTTTGGTACAATTGTAATAACAACTGTGACTGAAAGTTCTCATATTTTGAAGGATTGGCTGCCTTCATGTAATTGGCCATATTGGATTGTCTCCAATTTGATCTGACCACTATACAGGAGTACTGGACTTTGACTATTTTTATCTTCACAGTCTATAATAGTTCGAAGTCGTTACCCTTGACCTTAATAATGCTAAACTATGGTAACATTGTGGGTGTAGTCCATGCTATGTTCTCTGATAGGACGAAAATGTTATTGTTGAAATATGAGTAAACATTTGTTAATATTTTGCAATTTGCAAGCAAACAATACGTGCAGTCAAAAATCTTGGTCAAAACACTAGTGTGTCAAATACTGTACCCACATGACTTATCAGATTTTGTTAAATTGTTATTATACTTCCAATCTAGGATTGAGACTATATTGCATTCAACTTGTCTGTCCATCTGTCCATCAATTAATCTGTTCTTCCAACAAATATCTCTTTCACACTTTTCACATCTACTACTGAACAGAATGACTTGATATTTGGTCAGCATATACAAATTTATAATTGCATAATGTTTAATTTGTGGATTGTTTATGCTGTATATGGGTAGTGGTGACATATGTCAAATGAATGTGACCTTATGGTCATGCTCCATTTTGATTTTAAGTTTTTTAAATAAATGATAAGTTATACATGATAGGTTGAAAAATTTTAAATGTGAATGCATTGAATAAATATGTGCAGTATATATTTGAGATTACATGACTGTATGATTTGCTTGCAAAACTTTTATACGCTAATACAGGATAACTTTTAGATGCCAGATAACGGATCTATATAAATAGGGTACAAATTGTAATCCATTATTTTGCCTCTGAATGTGGTTCCTAAAGGATCAAAATCAGTCAAGCTATGAATCATCACAGGACACTGTTAATTATATGTTTTGGCAAATCCTATTTCATATGCTACCTTTTCTTATAGTTTGGAATATTATCTGACCTTGAACTCTTTTCCATGGATCATTGATAATGAAAGTATGTGTGATACCTATAGATAGTAAAACCATGTATGATCTCTAAAAGTTTAAACACTTAATTTAAATAATTAGTAAAGCAGGAGAAGGACAGACATTTCAGCTTATGCATTTCTGTTTTAATTTGGCAAAATAAATTAGTCAAATTATACATAGATACCAGGTCATGGATACAGGCTTATTTGAGCCCCAAGTATTAATTTTACTTCTGTGTACAAAATTAAATACAGAATAAAAAAAAAATGTGATGAGTTATAATTTTCTCATTAGCAAATATAAGCTTAACTTGGCAGTAACGTTATAATGTTTAGTGTAACAGTAACATGAGTAACATGGCTAACTTTGTATAGGAATCTCTTGATCTTGATGAAGCTAGTTCACTTGAATACAATTTAAAATAGATTAAGACAACATTATCGAAAGAAGCATACTTAATTTGAGCATCAATCCTTGTGTTGCTTGTTTTGAGGTCTCATTATTAGGATATGTATTTATATAATATATGTTGCTTACCTCTTCAAGCTTTTTGTGAATGTCCAGAAGACAAACAAAGTACTTGTTGCACAGTGAATCATCCAATGGTCTGTTCTGTATCCTTATGAAGTCATCTTGTTTACTGGGGTCAAGTTGAAGAACATATGTCATAAGGTCATTCCACAGTGTTTGGTACTCTTTTTCAGTTATGGCACCTTTGGTGTTATGACTAAGATAGTTGTTCTTAAATTCTCTTAGTTCTTTTATCAATGTCTCCTCATTTGGGGTCAGATTGCAGCAATTCAGTAAAATCAAACTAGCCAAGGTGATATCAAGATCATCTAATTTTACGTTATTAGTTGTATACAAGCAGTGACAGTGATGCTTAGGTGGTCCTGGATTCTCTGTGTACAGTAAATCCCATTGGCTGTAGTTTAATGGTAGTTTCCTTCTATTCCTACAGTTGGTACTGTCCACACAACACTTTATATTGGTGTGACGTAGATGGAAAAGGATGTGTATAACAGGTTTACTGTTGATGAAATCTTGTAGACATCCTAACCCTTTACTTTTGTAGTCTATCTCTAGCCTCTGTCTGAAAACTGGTGTAACGATCTCCAATATAACAGAACCAACTATAAAGTACCGTCTACGGTTATCTGGGTCCATCCTGTTGTAAAATGAAGACATTTAAAACTTAAGATATACTAGTATATTCTAGCCTTAGTCTGAAAACTAGTGAACCAACAATTGAGAACTACAGTTCTCCCTGTCCATTCTAACGATAACAAAAAGAATTAAAAACTATATAGTTAGTTGACTCAAATTCCCAATGTTTAGTGTTTTATTAACACACATAACAGAACCAGCACTGAAATAATGTCTACCCTCCTCTTTGTGCATCCTGCAGTAATAAGTATTATTTATATCAGCTATGCCTCAGACAAGTAGAAAATCAGTGCCTATCAATTATTTTTAAAAGAGTTATGCCCTTTGGAAATATTGATTATATGGAAAATTGCATTGTTAGCGCACTCATGCGTACAATTCTGGCCAGATTTTTATGAAACTTATATCATAGGTTTATATCACATGCCTCAGACAAGTTAAAAATTAATGCCAATCAATTTTTTTTAAAAGAGAAATGCCCCATGGAAATATCAATTATATGGAACATTACATTGTTAGCACTCTCTTGTGAACAATTCTTGCCTGAATTTTATCAAATTGATATCAAAGGTTTATATCAGCAATGTCTTGGGACAAGTTTGAAAAGCTTTATAGGTTCTTCACATGAAGGCTAAATGCTTTTCTTTCAATGATTTTTTCAGCCCCTTTTTTTGAAAATTATTTTCTCAGTTATATAAAACAAACAAACTTTCTGCATTCTCTTTGCTGAGAATAACAAGTAAGGTAATGTTATAAGGAAACATTATATTGAGACGGAAAAGAATATTAAGAATGACGAAAAAAAGGGGAACACACAATTGAAATCAGAGAGAAAGTAAGGAAACACAATATTGAAAGTTGAGAGAATATCATGTAAATTTGGAATTCCATAAGGGAACACACTGTTGAAAGTGGAGAGAATATCAAGTAAGAGGAATTCTATAAGGGAACACACTATTGAAAGTGGAGAGATTTACAAGTAAGAGGAATTCTGTAAGGGAACACACTATTAAAAGTGGAGAGAATATCAAGTAAGAGGAATTCTATAAGGGAACACACTATTGAAAGTGGAGAGAATTACAAGTAATAGGAATTCTATAAGGGAACACAATATTGAAAGCGTAGAGAATTTCAAGTAAAAAGAATTTCATAAGGGAACACAAAATTGAAAGTTGAGAGAATATCAAGTAAGAGGAATTCTAAAAGTGAGCACAATATTGAAAGCGGGGAGAAAATCAAATAGGAGGAATTAAATACTTGAACACGAAATTTAAAGCAGAAAGAATATCAAGTAAAAGGAATTCTATAAGGGAACACAATATTGATAGTGGAGAGAATATCAAGAAGGAGGAATTCTATAAGGGAACACAATATTGAAAGCGGTGAGAATATCAAGTGAGAGGAATTCTATAAGGGAACACAATATTGAAAGCGATGAGAATATCAAGTAAGAGGAATTCTATAAGGGAACACAATATTAAATGCGGGGAGAAACCATGTTAGAATAATTTTTTAAGGGAACACAAAATTAAAAGGGGAGAGAATATCAAGTAAAAGGAATTCCAAAAGGGACACAAAATTTAAAGCGGAAAGAATATCAAGTAAGAGGAATTCTATAAGGGAACACAATATTGATAGTGGAGAGAATATCAAGTAAGAGGAATTTTATAAGGGAACACAAAATTGAAAGAGGAGGGATATCAAGTACGAAGAATTCTATAAGGGAACACAATATTGAAAGTGGAGAGAATAACAAATAAGAAGAATTCTATAAGGGAACACAATATTGAAAGAGGGAGAATATCAAGTTAGAGGTATTCTATAAGAGAACACAAAATTGAAAGCTGAGAGAATATCAAGTAAGAGGAATTCTATAAGGGAACACAAAATTGAAAAGGGAGAGAATATCAAGTAAGAGGAATTCTATAAGGGAACACAATATTGGAACCTTAGAGAATAGGGTATCTAGTATGAGGAATTCTATAAGGAAACACAATATTGTCACAATTTGAGGGAATGAGAATATCAAGAAAGTGAAAATTAGATAGAAACGCCGTGTTGAGGTAGGAGAGATTATCATCAGAGGAGGAATTCAGAATATCAATGGAGTGTTTTAGAGGAACACACTATTGAGATAGAGATAGGAGAGAATTTATCAAACTAGGGAAATATTGTATGGGAACTGAATATTGTCTAGGAAGGAAATATCAAATTAGGTGAAAATAAAGAAAACAATATTGAGAGAAGAGAGAATATTAAGTAAAGGAAATATTTTGAGGAACAAAGAAGAGAATGTATGTTTTGATCATTGTCATTGTGGTATTTTACATGTATAGGAATGATATAACCATATTATGTAGGGACACTGGGAAATGTTGACATGGATAAGAGATATCTGTAAACTTAAAGTTAATGATAATGTTTAAATATATGACCTCATTGACCAAATTGTTTTCAGAAGAGTTTCCAAACTTTCACTTAAGATGAAGATGATATTTTCTCTTTTTAAAACCTACAAATTATCAAAAAGTATAGTAAACCATTATTTCACTTACCTTTTGCTCATTGTTGGTTACCCAGAGAACAAAGTATGGAAGGAACCGCCATTACTATTTTTAGAATTAAATAACTTAGCTAGAAAAAAAAAGCGTTATCTCCCTTTTTATAGTTTTAACCAGGAGATAATCTAATAAATTTAGGTTACAAGGAAGTAATTATTTACATAGGCGACAATGGTAGCCTTTTTTGGTCCTGCGTTTTCCCTATCAAAGATCCATTGAAAAAAATGTCGAAATCTGAATTATCAACACCTTTGGGTGTAATTGAAACTGCAAAACACATATGGTGCCGCAGCTTTTTTGATAGAAAAATGACATTTTTTAAGGGTACTCAACGGTTCTGGAATTTTCGAAATAGTATAAATGAAGAACACCCCTTGCTAAATTTGGCACAGAAAATGTTTCTCGTCACAGAGAGTTTTCTCTAAATTTCTCGCTATTTCTACACCAATGGCCAAAACTCATTTCTCACTATTTTGATTTCTAATTACTAGGGCAGCAGAAAATAAATTTACTTCTACCTATTATCTTGGATGTGAAATCTAGGTGGCGCCAATCATCTTTATTTACTTCCTTTTAACCTCTACTGACATATATTGTAATAAAATCGGACAATCTTTACATTAGTCGATTACTATACCCCCCTGCTGCTTAAGTTCAAATTTTTGGATATAAGATACAATTATTCACTATTTAAAATGACTTTCTTTACAGGTACCCCCCTTTGCAGAAAACGTTACTTTTTACAGACTTGGGGCCATTGACCAGCTTATTTTGACTGTTTGGCTATGTTTAAAACGAGGTGTTTGATTAATAAAGTTCGATTTAGGCCTATTAAAGACTTTAGGCTGATGATTTGATAACTGTGTCCAACTTATATGTCTTTATCACGAATATATGAACACCGTTGCATAAGAGTCAAAATATTTTATGAAATAGACTATAAAAATGTTAAAACTAAGAATTTATCATTGCTGTTATGTGTTTTATATGAATCGTGTGCAGAACATTCGATATGACGATACTAAGGAAACACATGTATAGCCTTTGATTTTTTATCTAATTTTAATATTTTAGGGGCATTTTGGCACATTTCTACCATTAAAAATACAAAAATGTCGCTAACGTCAGCAAAAATAAGCCCCCCTTTTTTTAGATATGCATAAATACATGCAGTGTTATCGAGGATGAGGAGAAATGATTAAAGACAGAGTCCTTGACATAATTCTCGTTCTTACAGTAGGTTAATGAAGCCTACCCCTTAAGCAGAAGAATAAAAAAAACAGTAAAAATTTGATATAGACTATAGTTTCATGGTGATCAGAAAATTTCTTCTGATGCAGATTTAAATTTTTTTTTAAAGCCATTGATTTTTTGTTTTGAATGTATGAAATAATGGTTAAAGAGAAAACATATCTATCTTTAGAAACCTTTACGTTAAATTCTTCAGATTGCAATAATATTTGTCTATAATTAGGAAAATATATTGATCATATGACAAATACAGGGATTATTTCATAAAAGATAGTAAGAAGAAAATCCTCTCATATCAAGAGTATAAAATACACCGGTCGTGTGGTGTGATGGTGTATAAAGATACAGGATAACCCATCACTTCGGACCTGGCTTAATAATTACCGTTCCTGAATTATATATATGTCTAAAGATTTGTACTACTTGTATTCTCTGTCGTATATATTTATCCTTTTAATTAGATCCTCTTACTTCACATTCTGTATATTGCCTGCAAGAGTTCTATATTGACAGAGTCAGCCATTGTTTAACTTGTATAAAACTTATGAATAAACAAATATTCTTTAGCCTGGAACTATAAAGATAAGTTGAGAAAAGGATATAGAAGGAACAGTAACTCTTGTTTTATACTATTTTAGAATAATGCTATTTACAGCATATTTACTTTCAGCCCCATTTAATTTACTTCTTTTTTACCGGTCCCTCTCTAAAAAAAACCACAACAAAACAAACACAAAAAAAAAAAAAACAAAAAAAAACTGATATGAGCTAAAGATTTGTGTTTCAAAATTAATAAATTTTCTGAGAGAAAAATAACCCCAAAACCGGGTAATTTTTTCCTTGGTTTACACTTCAAAAGACCATGTTGCCAAAACTACTTGAGTAACTTTTGTAAACATTCTGTCGATATTCTATTCATGCGCATTACAAATGCATGTGATCTGTGGTTCTTTTGAAACTGAAAAAAAAAAAAAAAAATACAGAGCTGCATATTATTACAAATCTATTGCACGACAAATAGAATTATGCATTTGATTAGAGCTTTGAAAAATGTATCAAATTAAAATGAAATAAAATTCAGTAAAATTTCATGAATGATATTGGTGCATTCTCTTTATCACAAAACATGACGGCATACAAATGAAAACTCTCAAACTGAAGCTGGGTTACTGACTCACAAACTTTACAT